CTTGAGTTCGATATTGTGGTGAAAATGAGGAGTTTGGGTTTTAGATTTCTGTTCTGGAGTATGGGGATTGAAAATCTAGATTTTTGGATTGAAGTTTAGGCTTTTTGAAAAAATCAGGGGTTTTTTGTGAATTTATGAGAAATATGAGATTTTGGGATGAACTTTGAAGTTTTCGGTTAAATTATCCAATAAGAGTTGAATTTTTTGGCCAGATTTCAGTCACTTTTTTAGAAACCAGTAGATTTTTCAATTTATAATTGAATTTCTAGGTTAGTCTAGAGAGAGGTTAGAGGATTCTTTAGGTTAGAGAGAAAAGAGGCTAAAGGCTTCTGAGGATAAAATGTAAAATTTAGCTTTTATAGGGCTCCAAAACGATATTGTTTTGAAAGTCATAGGCTTGCGGATAGACCTGTTGACCCACATGCTGAATCACACGTTGACCCGACCCGAATCGTAGGTTTCTTTTCTTTTTTTATTTTATTTTTTGATTTCATTTTCTTTTCATATATTTATCTTATGTTTATATTTTTATTTTGTTTTCAATTTTTTATTTTATTGGTTTTCTTATTTATTTATTTTCCTTAAGTAATTTATTATTTGTTAAATATTTTGCAAAAATAAAAAAATTTTCCTTTATGAAAAATGATAAAAAAGAATAATAAAAATAAAATAAATTTTTTTAATAAATTCATGAATTCTACCAAATTATTGAACAATTTTCATGGATTCAAATTTTATGAAATTCACCAAAATAATGGAAAGTTCCATAAATGAATTTTAGAAAAATAAAAAAATAATATTATCCTTTAGATTGCTTTCTAAATTAAATATTATCAAACTACTAGAGATTTAATTAATTTTTTAAATAAATAATAAATAAAATTTTTATAAATAATTTTATAATAAAATCTCACCACACTATTAGGAGATCTATTTTAAAGTAAATCCTACCAAACTATTGAGAGATTTTATTGATTTTTTTAAATAAAAAACCTTAATAAATTCGACAACGGAGCTTCTTTAAAATGGCATACTAATCTTCATGAATACTCATGAGGTAAGAGAATTATCTTAAATTACTACTAAGTTATTGGGGTAATTTTAAGACTAATTTTCAATAGTAAATATTTTGATAAATCACAAACATATTCAAGGTTTGGATAATTTGAAATTAAATTTGTACCATTCTTTAGATAGGTGCTATAAGTGTGCTATAACTTTCCTCACGCTAATCACATTCCTGAACTTAAAATCTGGTTTCGTGGATTAGATTCAATCAGGTGACAAATCACACCTAAACAAAAAAATTGGTGACAATTCCTCTAATTCATATCTAACGGTAGGTCCATAGATCTATAACTTATGACAGATACCTTCACAAAAAATAATATTTTGTGTTTTAATTTTCTTTTGCATAATTCATATTATCACTTTTTTGACTTGAGAAAAAAGTGTTAATATAAAAATTTTAAAAATCAATATTTAAAAATTTAAATATAGTTGCAGTAATAATAATTATTCTCATAATTTTTTTTTTTTTACTTTTCATTTCGTACATTATAATAAAAATAACACTTACATGTTAAAAATTATTATAAAAAAGTTTCATATGTACAAAAAATAAGTAATAAAATCAATGACTAACGAATTATTTGGCATCTAATAACTATTTGGTACTTAAGTGGGATCTTCACGTGGAGGGGATTTTCACAAAGTTAATATCAATACATGATACAAAAAATCTAATGAATGAAATACATATATATTATCTATCAATGATATAAAACTAATTGCTTTATTCAATTTTTTTTCTTGGCATAATAAAAAATATACCTCCAAAATTTGTTTTAGTGTCTGAAAACTATGATCTAAATAAAAATAATTAAAAAAAAGTGAAACAAATAAAAGAAAAATTAAAAATAAACAATACTATTAGAAATTAAAATTAACTTAAAAAAGAATTGATATACCTTAATTGAACTATAATTTTGATCACAACATTAAAAAAATATATATTAAGAAATTTGTGTTAGAAAAAAAAAGAATCTGAATAAAACTAATATACTTGTGAGATTATTAGATGTGGATATATGTACTTCGTATTTAATTTGTACTCAATGCAAGCTCAATCAAGTAGTAGACAATAATGATTGACTAACTTGAATATGTGAAATCTTGATTATATTCAATCTTTCGTTGTTAAGTTTTGAAAGTATAAAGAAGATAATAAGTGAAATTTAATTTGTTTGAATTTTAAAAATATACTAAACAATAAAGGATTATTAGGAAATCTATGAAGATAAATATTTTATTTGAGTTTTTCAAATTTAAAAAAGATATATGTATAGTATTAGAAAAATCTATTTTAAAAGAATTATATTTAAATTATATTTAATTTGTGTGCTTTATATATAATTAATCCTAATATTTAAAGTACTATACATGAAAAAAGTAAAAAAGTTAGTAAAACCACAATGATTTAACTGAAAAATATTTGATATTTAAAAGTTAACATTTGAATTTTGGATTTAATATATATTGATTATAAGAGTTAGTTGAGATTTTTTTGTGATTTAAATTAGGATAAAATTTAATAAAATTAAAATATTGGATAAACTTAATTTTTAAAATTTTAAAATTATTTGGTAAATAATTAAAATTAAAGAATTATCTTATGTATAGATTGTACATATAAATGATTATGTAAGAATGCTTATTTGGCATTTATTTAAAATTATCTTATATGTCATCAAAATAGATTGTACATATAGAATTACACGTAAGTAAGTTTTATTAGGTATTCTTATATGTTATAATATAATATATAATATGATTAGTTTTTTTTTTTTCCAAAATTATTTCAAATCTTCAAAATTTATAATATATATAAAATTCATATATATTGATTTGTCTTAAAAATGAACTTTTTGAAACATGTAAGAAAAAAATTACATGTCTTCCCTTTGAACTATTTTATTTATACACCAACAAGATTATATCAAATAAAAATAAATTACATCTTTTTTAAAAATCAAAACATATATTTTTTAATGATGAATTAAATAATAAAAGAAGTATTAACATACTTTTATTTTTGTAACATTAACCAAATTGTTGTACAAAATATAAAAAATATTATGAGATATGTGAAAAAGAAAAAATATATTGAAAAAATATATTATTTTCCATAAAAATGAAATTGCAATAGTGATAAAATATATATTGAAAAAAGATGTAAACTAAAAAAAATTACAATATTAATAGAATATATCTTGAAAAAAGTTGTAAACCAAAACAAATAAACAATTAATATAATACATTGCATTTATAGTCTTAAATTTGTAGAAGAACAATTGAGTAGCAATTAAGATTGAATAGATAAATTTAAAATTAATTTTTTTAAAATTTAAAAAGGATATAATAAGTGATTATGAAATCAAATTTTTTGCTTATATTTAAAACATAAATTTTATAATTAAAGTTGAAATGAATATAATCTTTTTGATGGTCTTATTATTTTAAAATTTTAATATGAAAAATTGTTTGAATTTTCAATATCTTACGTAAATTTTCAAAAAGTTAATTTTTTATTGATTCAAATCAAGATAAATAGGTTGTTGAAATATTTGGATAAATTTAAACTTTGTAATTTTAAATATGTTGAAAGATTTTGATAATTAAATAATTTTTTATATAAGATTATTTGATAAACAATTAAAATTATTTATTATGAAGATATAATTCGTATTTCAGATTTTTAATTCTAAAAAAATTGATTTTCAATTATAATTTGAATAATTTTTCTATTTGAAAAAATTGAAGATTTCCAACTCTTTTAAAAAGTTATCTTACATATAATTCAAAAAAATTATCCACATAAGTGTTCATGTGATAAACCTTATCAAATTCTTATGTATATTGAAATATATATATATATAATTTATATTATTTTAAATAGTAATGGATTTAAGTAAACTTTTATACGATAATTGAGGCAACCATTGAGAAAGTTTTTAAAAAAATTAGTAAATATGTTACTCCTCATGTTAACATATTTTATTATCTAGGAGGTATGCTTACTTGTTTTTTGGTACAAGTAGCTACAAGATTTGCTATGACTTTTCACTATCGTCCAACCGTTACTAAGGCTTTTATTTTTGTTCAATATATAATGATTGAAGCTAACTTTGGTTGGTTAATCCGATCAGTTCGTTGATGGTCGGCAAGTATGATGGTCTTAATGATGATCCTACATTATCTTGGATCATACATTATCTCAAGCTGAACCAGAACAAGCTGACACAAGTACAAGAATAAAGTAGGCTAAGACAAATTGCATGATCTAAATTCTATGACCTACTATACATTTCCATTAATCATTCCTTGCTTTTAATACATTGAACAACATCCTCCATTACAATTTACAAATTCATTTTCATAGGAAAAAAGATATGGTTTACAAAACCATTGCGATTTCAAAAACATTCTCTTTCATTTTAAACAAAAAGTTTATTTAAAATAAAAAAAGATATGAGTCTCTTACATAAAAAATAAGATAGATCAAATTATAACAAATCTAATTTTGTTAATTTATACCTTAATTTTACAAAAATGGATACACAATTAATCACCCAACTATATGGATATTTTTAAAATAATCACCTAATTATTAATTTTTTCAATTTAATAACTTAAGTTTTGATAAGTGTTGTTTTTTATCAATCAACCATTAATCTCTAATGGCATGCTGACATAATATTGTTATATCAACGACCATGCCATGTGATATATTGATAAGTGACATGGAAAATGATGTGGCAATGCCATGTAGCACTTGATAGCACAACATGCCATTAAAGACTAATGATTGAAAGACAAAAAAAAAAATTTACTCAAACTTAAGTAATTAATTAAAAAAATTAATAGACTATTTTAAAAACAAGTGATCAATGATGTATATAAAAAAAAAAAAAAAAAAACTCTTTGTACAATGTACGTTGTCTAAATTTCACAGAAGAGATAAAAATATTTAATCAATTGCGAAGAGCAGGGAGGAAAAATGGAATTGCTTATCGCAATTCTATGACCTCATCTTCCCCACACATTCCTACATCAATAACCATGGTGCCTTTCTTCTCGGTTGGCAACACCCTGCAACAATTCCTTCGTGGAGCCTTGCTCAAAACCACAACAGAAATCTATCCATCAACATGCTATCAAAAATTATTTCAAGCTATAAAACTATATGCACATTGACCTAACAAAAGCATAAAACTTAAGTAAAATTACACCATTGGTCACAAAATTATGATCATATTTTTAAAATAATTACTAAATTATTAAAAATTTTAATTTAATCACTAAAATTTAAGTATTTTTTTATTCGATCATTAGTCTTTAATGGCATGTTGAAGTAATAATGACACCATGGCTATCAGGTATCATATGATATCATCACCTTAGTAAAATTTATAATGTCAAGTCGCAGTATTATGTGGTATATCGAATAGCATGGTAATGCCAAATGACACTTAACAATTTGTCGCATTAGAATGCTATTAAAAACTAAATTGGATGAAAAAAAAAATTTTACTCAAATTTTAATGATCAAATCGAAAAATTTAATAATTAGATGATCATTTTAAAAACACGACCTTAATTGAATAACCAATGGTGGATTTTACCCAAAAACTTATTACCTTGTCCCATAAAGTCGGATCAGGTTTTTTGTAAACCTCGACTTTCTCAATCCCTGAAGGATCAGCCATCTTCCAATTGCATTCCGGGCTTGAAACTCTGTGCAGAACATACTCACTAGCTGTCTGGTTTGTGTTCTTGTTGTATGCTGCGTCAGACAAGTAAAACACAGATGGTTTTTGGCAAACATGTCGGCTAACAGGACGAGTATTAAAAGAGAAGCTGTTGTGATCAGCTCTTTTATACCAATTCAGAAAAGTTCTGGCTGGCATTTCCATCTCTCGAACTGACAATACGCCCCGGTAGATTTGAACTGCATAGCCCCAGGAGACCGAGATCGTCCAGCTTCTTGTTTTGTCATAGCAAACCGATTGCTGCATGACAGCAGCCGAATCCAGGTTTATTGGAACCTTGAGACGTTGCAGGGCTTGAACCATGGTCACATTGGGGAATATGGGCTCAACCACGTCTAGGTGGTGAAGAGAGACTATAGGTGCAACAGGGTGCGCAGCCAGAAGGCCCAAGAGGCTGCCGTACACATCATACTGGTAAAAACCAAGCATGATGAAGAGTTATTAGAGATCATTAATGAATATTTACATTGCTTAGATTTAGATCTCATCCAAGCAAAAAAAAGTAAATTATTTGAGTTTTTTCGACAATTTTACGATTGGTTATCTCAGTTCCATGATTGAAAATCGGATCCAGAATTTTTTTAAAGGATGTTCACTCATTATAAATATAAAATTTTTGATGGATTTATCAATGTCGATTAAAAGAGTGTTTTTCCTTTTAACTTTTTTTTTTTTTAATCTTTTAGGTTGTCCTGAGAAAATTTTAGAGGGTGTGAAAAAATTTTCCTTTAAATTTTTTTTAATTTTCAATATTTTAAGGTGTTCATGGACATTATTTTAGGGTGTCAAAGGGTGGATTTGCCCTTGACTAAAAAGTAGATTTATGGATAGAAAGAGGGCCATATCATATCTTTTTTTTTTTGGCTAAGCCAAAATTTATTAAAGTAACCATATGGTTAGAAAGTTAGTCCAAATTAGCAAAGACAAGATCTAAATACAATTCCATTTGAGTCCTAAAGAAGACCTAAATGTAAATCGAAGAAAAACATCTTGCCAGCTCTTAAGAATAGTCAAGAGTGATCAAGATACAAAACAAGAATCTAAAATATGACCAACTATGAAATAACCCATCACACTTGAGTTTTGAAAGCAAAAATACAAAAAGCGGATCATAGAAAGCAAGAAAAAGAATATGCTTATGAATTTAAAGATAGATAATAAGCAACAGCCAGTCCATGATAGAATCAATCACCCCATCATAAAATACAGAACCACCATGTGACAACTATCGAACACTAACTGCTAGCATTATCATCAAGATCCCTCCATTCCATATCCATTAACTTGTCAATAATAATTTCTTCATCACCATTAAATGACAACCCAAGCCATTTCCCAAACTCCCAAGTTTTGATAGCCTTTTCTCTATACAACAAATTTACCCGTCAAATATCATTATTTGATATGCCAATATCTTTTTCAAGGATCACATGGGGATCATGAATACATAATGGAATCTTTGAAACCTTCATTCTATTCTATTTGCAATTTTTTTGTTTCTTTTGCTTGATTTTGTGGCTTTTCATATTCTTCATGCTCGAGTAATCAAGATGGTCCATAATGTCTTCACAATTAACAGCATACTCCTCATCTTTCTTTTTTGATTCACCCTCATAATTTTGGACAAATTCCTCATTTTTCACCTTTTTAACTTTCTCAACTAAATTCATAGGAAAAGCTCAACCAATCTTCTATGAGTTTTTTGTCCTTAATTACCCTCTCACCATTACTACATTCAACCATTTGTAAACAACCACCAATGTTGTTAGGCTCTCTTGCTCCTTCATAAGAATTTTGAACCATAGCACATTCATCATAGCTTCTTTCAATAAATTTACAAATAATAAATCCTCATTCATTATTCACCATAGGATTAAGGCTCCAATTATTTTTTTGCATTGGATCAATATTAGGAATAGCAGAAGACCTCGCACCACTAAGAGATTGCTTATCATCAATCGAAGGGCAAGCTTGTACTAATTATGTTGGGGAACACCACAGCTCTGATACCATTTTTTGGGGATCACCACAACTCTGATACCATTTTTTGAGCTAAAAGCCTCCAATCCAATCACACTAGAGAAAGTGAAATCAAACAATAAATCAAACACACAAGAGATAATAATTTAGCGTGGTTCGATCCAACTGACTTACATCCATGGATGAGAAAAAAGATCCACTAGTTGTAAAGAATTACAAACTTACATCAAATCATCAACCTCACTCAACAATCAATACTCATAAGACATTCTCAATCTCCTTTAGTCCTATGAATTATTCTCAACCCAAACAAATACAAACTCAAACCCTTGTGCACCCTTTCAACACAACCAAACACATACCCATATGTTCCCATACATTATACCTATGTGGATCCTCTCAGTCTTTTTTAGTCCACTCACAAACAAACATACACACCATAAGACGTAGAGCCCTAATACTCCTATGGGGTGTCTATCCCACAAAACCCTACAACTTTCTTATATCTTTTTCTCATACCTAACCCTGTAGAGACTTCACATATTTATAACCATATAAACTTGCCCATTAAGAATCCCTCTCCTCTTAGAATTCTTCTCCTGTAAGTTAAACTTGCCTATTAAGAATCTCTTTTCCTTTTAGAATTCTTCTTTTGCAAGTCAAACTTACCTATTAAGAATCATCTTTCTCTTAGAATTCTTCTTTTACAAGTCTTCTTGTTCATCAAGCAATATCTGACAAATATAAAAAAATCTCATATGAGATTTGAGTCATTATTCCCAACAATCTCCACCTTGACTCAAATTCCATCAATCATCTGTTTTCATGCTAGACATGCTTGGCTCTACCTGCAATAGAGATCTCACACTCATCTTCTCTTATGTGTCTTCATGCTTCATGCAAACCAATCTTCAATCTTCAAAACTTAAACTCGAACACTTCTCTTGAATTGAGCTCTTTTGGACTTACTTTTTCCCATGTCTCAAACCATGCACTTCTCACATCTTAAACCTTTAGCTCTTTCCACATCTCGAACTTTTAGCTCTTTCACGTCTCGAGCCTTTGACTCTTTTCACATGTTGAATCTTCAACTCTTGTCACGTTTTGAACCTTCAACTCTGATACCACTTGTTGGGAAACACCACAGCTCTGATACCATTTGTTGGGGATCACCACAGCTCTTATACCATTTGTTTGACTAAAAGCCTCCAATCCAATCACACTAGGGGAAACGAAATCAAACAATAAATCAAACACACCAGAGACAATAATTTAACGTGGTTCGATCCAACTGACTTACATCCATGGATGAGAAAAAAGATCCACTAGTTGTAAAAAATTACAAACTTACATCAAATCATCAACCTCACTCAACAATCAATACTCATAAGATACTCTCAATCTCCTCTAGTCCTATGGAGTATTCTCAATCCAAACAAATACAAACCCAAACTCTTGTGCACCATTTCAACACAACCAAACACATACCCATATGTTTTCATACATCATACCTATGTGGACCCTCTTAGTCTCTTCTAGTCCACTCACAAACAAACATACACACCATAAGACGTAGAGCCCTAATACTCCTATGAGGTATCTATCCCACAAAACCCTATAACTCTCTTATATCTTTTTCTCATACCTAACCCTGTAGAGACTTCACCTATTTATAACCATATAAACTTACCCATTAAGAATCCCTCTCCTCTTAGAACTTCTCCTGTAAGTTAAACTTGCCTATTAAGAATCTCTTTTCTTTTAGAATTCTTCTCTTGCAAGTCAAACTTACCTATTAAGAATCATCTTTCTCTTAGAATTCTTTTTTTACAAGTCTTCTTGTTCATCAAGTAATATCTGACAAATCTCAAACAAATCTCATATGAGATTTGAGTCATTATTCCCAATAAATTCATCCCCTAACTTTTTAGCTTGTACATGATTAGCCACCTCTACTAAATGATTTTCATGTGACAACCCTTTCTCACTGTTTTGTGTACTCCCCTTTGAATTCTCTTAGGCATAAGTTTTTAATATCTCATTTAGATTGATTTTGATAACTAAAGACCCTTTTGTCTAAAGAGACTTGAATATGATTATATGCAACATCATAAGAAACAAAAATCAAACTTTTATTAACCTTTTCCCCTACCATGCAAGAATCATCAATGTTCTTTATTCTAAGTTTCGACAAACTCTTTTTATGGTTGCTAGAGTCATATACATTTTCTTACCACATACCTTTGACCATCACTACATAATATTTGTTAAGAAGGGCCTCAGGCTTACTGCTATGTTCTTTAATCTTAGTAATCCTTTCATGTTGAACATGGTCTAGAATCTTGGATATTCCTTTAGCTTTGAAAAATCTAAGTTTATAAGTATTAATCTAGTACCATTCAAAACTTCAAGTAAATATTCAATATCCTTAACATTCCTAATACTGACAGACCCATATCTTTGACCTCGAACATTTTTTTTAGCAAGAATGTGAACATTGACAATGTCACTATACCACTTGAACAGTTTCAAAAAATGAGCAGTGTATCATAGATTAAGGAAGTTAGTAAAATGAAATAGTGCTGAAACACCTTTACCCTGGAAATTTGCATTGGATTATTAATGTTGTTGATCTCTTTGCCTTATAAAATGATACTAAAAAACTCTCAATGTTTCTCTCTAAACTCTCAATGTTTCTCTCTTAGATAGCATCTCTAAATTAACTTATATTTTTACAAGAACAACCCCTAGATACATATTTGACAGGACAAGTAATCACACCAAAGTCAACCTTCTTATATTTAGTTTTCAACAGCAAAATAGAAGGCTTGGGAGATTCTAGTGTGTGTAGAAGTTAGGGCTTGCAAGTATATGGTTGTTGCAAGTAGTGGAGACTTGGTGCAGCTCTTTGAGGAATTTTATCGAACAAGTGGTACATGCTATTTTAGGAATGAGATTTTGCAAAAATAAATAAGATTGATGAAGATAAGGAGAAGATAGGAGATAGGGCATAGGTTTTAGAAGGAAAGGGGAATTAAATTGAAAGAAAATGAAAATAAGAATGCAATTCTGGTGAGGGGGTGAAACGTTAGAGAAAGTAGGATGGGTATATCTAGAAATGAAGTCAAGCCAAATATGAGATTTGAGTTAATACATTGCTAAACTCAAGCTTGACTTGACTCGAAAACTAGAGACTTAGAACTTTGATTCTTGCTCAATCGAATTTCATTTTTCATATTCAAACTTAGCTTGTAATTTAATTGAAACATTCGAACTTGGTTCGATTAAATTTTGTAAAATTGTAAATATTGATATTAAACACTATATTTTTGTCATTTATTTGAATATATTAAAGATATATTTAATATATGAGATTATAATAAGATGTGATAAGATGATATTATGAATAAAATTAGATTAAATAATGTCATTCTATCTTGTGTTTGATGTGTGTAAAGATTATGATAGGATACTTTATTTATTGATCAAAATTATCCTTTCTCAAAGTTTATACAATTTATTATTGATATAATTTTTAAAGATAAAATAAGATATGTAAATTTAATCTCATAGATTAAAAATAATCCTCTTTACATTAGAAGGATTGAATCATCCTAAATCAAAAGGATGATCAATCCTTATTATAATTTTATCCTTTTTTTAAATATAAATAAAATATAATATAAGATGATTATTATTTTATCCTATCCATCACTCTATGCATAAAATATAGTCTAAATATATGGGAGGGATCAACTTACACTAATGTTTAAAACTTTTTAATTTTACACATTTTTTTAACTATTGATTTCAATAAATTCAATGAATAAAATTAAACCATTTTTTTCTCTTTCTAACTTATCGATCTCATCCCTTGAATCTGTTAAAATAAAAAGTTATATACTAGTATAAGCTGATCCTCATTCTTAAATATATTAATAAAAAATAAAAGAACCATTAGGTTCACAAGGTTTTTGAGCCCGCTATTAAACTACTATAACTTGGTTTGATTTGTTATTCGAGTAGTTTAAGCTCAAGCTCGGCTTGGCAATCAATAAATCGAACTTTAACTTTTTCAAATCAAATGTGAATATAAATCATGAGTAATTTCGTTTACACCCTTATCCATATTTATAAAGTAAATCTAACAATCAAAATATAATAAAATGACATGACATGAATATGATAAAAAAATGTGATATAGTTTAAATTTTAATAATATTATATATAGATTTAATAAAATTAAATATATATTTAAATTTTTATATCGATATAAATTATAATACATAAATTTTTATAAAATATAATATATATAAAATTTAATATTTTAGATTTTTATTAGTTTGAAACTCTTAAGTGTTCGATAATTATTTTAGGTTCCAATTAATTTAAAATTTAATTAGATAAGATCTTATAAAAAAATAAATTCTCCCAATATCTATATTTTTATTTATAAAATTTAAAATCAAAATTTTATTTAAAAATAATTAAATTCCTTAATTACTTGAACCAACATACATGGATAATACTATATAGATTATAAGAATATTATATGATGCCGTATGGACGTAGAGTTCTTGAAGATCGTTGAGATCGAGTTCTTGTCAGCCACGTGGGTAAAGTACATGATTAGGAATTTAAAGAAAAAAGTTTTGAGTACGGCAGACAGGATGAGGTTGAAAACATTAAAAATATACCAAATATTTAAGTTATTTATAAAAAATTAAATATTACACTGCAACATAGTTAGATTAAGTATTTATAATTCATTTAGATGAGCCGTGAAATTAAAAATAATAGTCATAATAGAATTAAGTATTGTAATATAATAAAATTAAAATTATTGTTAAAATATATATATTTGAATATAAATATACGAAACAATAAAATTAAGTATAACAATTGATTACACAGCCAAAAACAATTGTGATTGTCATAATTAAACTTTTTTTTTTAATTTTTTCAAATTTACATTAAGATCTTAGACCTTGGTTTCAAAAGAGTCTTCAACAAATTTATTAATTGGAATGGACCATGATACTAAAACATGTGGGCAAACGCAAACTTGCACACAAGTTGTAGTAACCTTAAGATATTAACTAATTTAAATGGGTTGGTCCAAATTCAATGTAATGGTGGATTAGGGTTTTTCTTATTATTCCTAGATACTGTCGAATATAGACCTCCCCCAAATAGTGCATTAGCTATTAAAACAAAAATTTACTTTTTAATAATTTTTTTTTTCAAAAAGATAGATTAGAACATCTCACTTTAAATAAAACTCAGATCATGACAAAAACTCCCAAAAAATTAAGAAATGATTATATTAGATTAGGTTATTAATTAATTCTAATAGGTTTCCAAATTCAAATTGTTGTATTATCTAAAAGGCCCAATTTTTTTTTTTTTTAAATTTTGAGAACATAAAAAGGAGTTGTAATTATAAACATTGAAATTTGAATTTTAAACCTATTAAATGTCATATATGATTATATAAATTAATTAAATCAGATTTCGAATTTAAAATTTTGTTATTAGTTTGATTTTTTTTATTGTTTTTATTTTTAGATAATAAGAAACAACCCTCAAGTAATGTACTGTAAAAATTTTAAGTTTTTAATAAATCAAAAAGATAAATTTGAACAATTATAAATTAATAACTCCCAAGTAGTGTACTGCATTAGTTAAAACAAAATTTTAATTTTTTAATAAATAAAAAAATTATAGATAGATTTGGACAACTTGCTTTAAATCAATTAAAAAGAGTAAAGTAATGAGGAAATTATGAACTTAATTTTCCAAACCATGTCACCCATGGAAGAATAAAAAACCATCAAAGTTTTGACCAGAAAAGAAACCAGTTACTAAAAGAAAAATCTTCGAACAATTGAATCAGTCAATTTCTTATTAAAGTTTAAGCAAATTGATGAATATAAATGGATGAACTCAAAATTTAATTTAATATATTTATAAAATAATTATTTTTAAAAGATAATATTTAATAAATTTGATATTAGAACAATTCATAAATATATTTGATTTTTATTTATTTATATCACTTAACTGCATAAATGATACAGACAAACCTGGTGAAAACCCGGTTCCTTGGTGAGAGGAACACCGAGCTCAGACATGCAAGCGTGAATCCGTTCATCGGAGCCGTACAATCCTGGGTATCTCTGTATACACCTGTCTTGCATTTTTTCAAGAGCTTTAGCCAAAGGGTAGCTTATGGCAAAACCTCCGCCGCCATAGCCCATCCCATAAGAAAATTTTATGTTCTGCATATGACTCTCTGAAGAACTCCCTATGTAATAAAACTGATTATGATCATATTTAGACAACACCCGAACCAAATTTTCAGGCAAAAAATATGTATCATCGTCTCCCATGACGAACCATCTCACATCTTCCATGCCCTGCCGTAGAGTCTCGGAAACTATGCGGGATATTCGTATGGCAGATCGGTTGCCCTTTGGGTTTGTGTACTCGAACTTGGAACTGTCACCTGAGATCATTAGTGGTGGCAGATGATGGTCGTCGGTTCCATTTTTGACAGCAGTGTCTAACCAGACGATGCCACGCATGTGTTGGGGTTTCCACCAGAGTTTGATGTATTTTTTCCTGTGATCCCATAACCGAGCTGAGGCTGCAATACCGAAAACTATGTGTTGAAGGGTTGTTTTTGGTGAGGGATTTGGTTTGGGGAATGAAACAGGTGGGGCTATGATCTCTTGGTCAATGCCATGAATGGTTTTGATGAATTTGAGTTCATGAGAAGAATTCGAGAAGCTTAGTGTGTAAAATATGGAGAGAATAGAAATCAAAACGATGGAAGAAACTACAAACTTGGGGGAGGTCCAAGGAATAGAAAATCGGTTTATCATGGTTTGATCCCATAGAAAAGTTTTCTTCAAACTTTGGATTATTTTTCATGGTCTGGATTGTGGGGCTCAAATCAAGTCTCCTGGGATAGATATTGCAAAGTAAGATTAAAAAATAAAGAAAGAGTTGAAGGAAAATTTGGTTTCATCTGGAACAAACGGCACCGGTGGAGGTGTAACTGGTGCTCCAGTGCATTGTAGGGGCTGTTTGGATGAGAAAGAATTATACGAAACGTTACTTCACGTATGTCACTTTCATTTAAATTGTGTCACATAATTATATTTTTTAAAAAATTAACTATTTATTACTCGTTACATTTTATAATTAAATGATGAATATCTATTTTAAAAAGTGATTATTGTAATAAATAAATAATTTTTAAAAAATATAATTATGTGATATGATTTAAATAAAAATAACATGTGATTTAATGGTATCATATAATCCAATCAAATAATCAATTGAAGATTAGTGGTTAAGGGTTTAATTAGTGAATCATTGAACTAGGCTCTTATCATCATGAAACCTCCATTATTTTTTTTTTTGTTTTTAAAATACAGTTAACAATTTTTTTTTTTTTGAATTCCATTATTGTGTATGTATATGATTATCTTGTAATATATATTATATTGATATATTTAATATTATTTTGTTGAATAATACTTATAACTATTATAAGTATTATTTCTTTAAATATATATTAAATATTTTAAAGTATTTTTATAATTCTTAATATTTAAAATCTTAAATTAATAAATTCTAATATTTTAATCCTGTATTAAAAATTTAAAAAGCCAGAGATTAAAAAGATCAAACAGTTAGTTAAACGGGGAAATGAGTATATGTTTGACGGGCTCAAGGTACTGTGCTAAAATGGTGTAAAAAAAAATTAAATAGGCCATGGCCTTTTCTGGCTTTCGACGGGATTAAAAAAGAAAACACATATTTTAAAAATATTTCATGATGCAGTTAATCATACGAGCCAGTATGCATCTGATGGCTGTGCTCAGCTATATGTTCCTGCTGGACAATGGCTGACTTGGAGCTTTGGCCTCACCAGCCATTTCATTTTCTATCTTCACCAAGATGCTGTCCTTGCTTCTCAGGTTTGATTCGTTACATCAAATTTCACTCCTTGATTAATGCTAGAAATTTATGTCAAACATGTATAAAATATGAAATTATCGTATTATAATTTATATTCATATAAAATTACTAAACATATTAATTTTTTTATTAAATTCATATATAATTTTTGTAAAAATTTTAGATCGTGTCGTTTTTATTTTATATATTATTTTCATGTCATTTTATTAATTTAAAATTATTAAATCTAGGTAAAAACAAGAGTATTGGTCCATTTTTATGTAACCTCACAACTCTTACGACTAACCAATTGGTTTAGGATATGAAGGAATGGCCTGCTTTGAAGCCTTTACCATCTTATGGTCGAGGAAGGCATGCAGCTGCTGGTAGGTTTACCATCCTCATATTTGGAACTAATCTCACTTATTTCATTGTTACAGGTAAATTTTTTAATGTGTTTTTTTTAATAAATCGACAAAAAAAAATTTATCACATTTTAATTAACCAATTTTTAAATATTATTCATAATTACTTATTAAATTCAATAAATTAATAAAAATCGAATATCTTCACAAACTAAAATATTATTTTGTTAATTTAATAAATAAACATAAACAAATAAAAACCAAATCTGTTTATAACTGATTATCGAATGTTTTACTAACACAAATTTTAAGCTCATAATAATATATATTGTAACAACACTTTAATTTTTAGCAAATTAATGAACCTCACATTTATAATCCTGTTCAACTATCAGGGGCCAACGTTAAAATCGATGGTCAAGGTGCATTCTGGTGGCAAAATTGAAATACACACGACCTTACCTAATCGAATTCATGTACTCAGACAATATTCAGATTTCCAATGTAACCCTTCTCAAGTCCCCGTCATGGAATGTTCATCCTGTTTACAGGCCGGCAGTAAAAAATTGTTGGTGGATTTTGAATATTAAATTTATTTGATATTATCTTTTTAAGTATGGAGATAATGTTTGGTTTGCATTTGATTTGGTTATTTTAGTTAATATATAATATTATAAATTTTTAAAATTTGATTTGAATTTGAATATAATTTTTTTAAAGTGATATAATTCGATTTAAATTTTAATTGTTTAATTCATTAGAACTTAAAATTTAATTTTTTATATTATTTTAATATACTTTTTATATATTTAAATAAATTAAATATAAAATAATTATTTTAATTTAATAAAAATTAATAAAAATATATAATTTAATTAAATCAAAATATTTTTATTTTTAAAATTTTTTAATATAAAAATAAATTCAAATTTAATTCAAATCAAATAAAAAAATAAATTCAAATCAAACAGAATACTTAAACTTTAAATTGATTTTTAATTTTTACTTATAAAATAATGATAAGAATTAACTTAATTAACCCTTAAAGAATATTTAATTCAATGTAGGAACATTCCTGTACAAAGGCATTACCGTCATTGCTCCTGTCACATCTCCAAACACAGATGGTATCAATACAGGTAATTCTTTTTACTTTCAAATCAACAATGTTTTGCAAGAACAACAGTAGTATTAACTTGTCATCTCTAATTGTTGTCTGGCTCTAATTTGATGATCAGATTCTTGCACAAATGTTAAGAGTTGAGGACAGTTACATCGTTTCAGGAGATGACTGTGTAGCCGTGACACCCCATTCATTTATTAAAATGTTCGGTAATTTTGTAATAATATATAAGTAAAAATTTCAATTTAAGTCTTTATTCACATATAATTTTTTATCATAATAAAATTTGTAAAATTGAGCTGACAAAGGAGCAATGAAGAGGGGTTGGGATGAACATTGCATTTCATTTGGAATGCCCACAAAACAATTAGTCAGCAGGAGGCTGACATGCATCTCACCATACAGCGCAGTCATTGCATTGGGAAGCGAGATGTCAGGTGGAACCCAGGATGTCAGAGCAGAAGACATCACTGCCGTCCATACAGAATCTGGGGTCAGGATCCAGACTGCTCGAGGAAGAGAAGGATACGTGAAAGGAATGAGTTTCACACCATGAAATGGGTGTTTAGGATGACAGGAAACTACAAAGCACATCCTGATAATCACTATGATCCCAATGCATTGCCGGTGATTCAAGGGATCAATTATAGAGACATTATTGCAGACAATGCATCAATGGCGGCCAGATTGGAAGGGAATTGAAGGTAATCCATTTATTCAAATCTGCATATCGAATGTCACAATTGGAATGGCAGCTAAAACCAAGAAGGCACCATGGACTTGCACTGATGTTGAGGGGATTTCAAGTGGAGTAAGCCCTCGGCCATGTGACCTGTTACCTGATTAAGGGCCGAAGAACATCACAGTTTGTGATTTTCCAGCAGACCCTTTGTCCACTGATAGTCTGGTGCTCAAAAGTTGTACCTACAGGGTAAATTATATGTGACTGATACAAGTAAAAAACCAAAGTCAGTTGCTAGATGTGGTATGGTTCTCGTAGTTGGGAGCTTTGTGTCTGTCCTCAATGTTTCTGTTTCTCAATTATTTATATTATAATACTGATGGATTTATTAATTTTATTGATGACAAAGATATTTAAAAAGAAATTTGAGAATGTTAAGAAAATATTTTTCTTCAAATTTTCTTATTTTTAGTTTTCGAAAGTGTCCATGGACATCTTGTACATGCGCATCCGCCTCTGAAAATCTTGACAACTTCGAATACCAAAAAGAGTTACATTATAGACTTACAAAATAATTGAACTCTCATACTTATATGTGTTATAGATCATCCATGAAAAACTGCTTGGGAGATTCTGGTAGTACAAACATAGAGAGTATCATTATTCACCAGCATAAGACATCTGACATTTGTCCTGAACATTGTCATCACGCCTGAGTTTTAGAGCAAAGGAACTATGAAATCTTCTATGATACAAGCAAAACAAAACCACCTATCACCAATTCAACAGGATACCTAAAAAGCCAGATCGAAAGGAATTCCAGGAGGAACCTAAAAACCCGTCATCTGCGCAAATAACTAATCTATCTACAGTGAAAAGAAGAGTCTGCTCCAACTAGAGGTTGATGCTCATTCTGATAAGCAGGGCAGTTGGCAGCAAATTCAAATGCAGAAGGCAGCAAGAGATGTGGAATGAAAGTTGAATAAACTCTCATTCTGTTTAAGAGTATTCTTATCCGAGTCCATATCTTTGTAATCTCAAAGGGACCGATGAGTCCTACATAGTATTGCAGCAAACCAGAGCCACTAGGTACATTTCCAGGCATATACAACACATCATGTTCAGTGAATTGGGTCAGGATTGAATTTTACAGATTCTCTATAGATGAGCTCCTTGATGTTTTCTTCAGTAAATGATGGTTGCTCAAAATCAAAACTGAAAGGCCTTGGGCAAACTGGTTCCTCATTAATTTCATGAAGAGGTGCCAAGTACGGGTGGCATAGAGCCTCATCGACTGCAACAAACAATAAAAAGTTGTTAGCAAATGAAGAAAAAGGGTCCTCCTGATTTGATTCCAGGTATAAGCATCAATACTAAAATAGCAACTTGAGCTTAGAACAAACTTAGAATTATCTGAATCTTAAACCTATCACAATGTTCTTGTGAAGTAGCACTAAGAAATCAGCAATTAGTTATACCTGTAATGCGCCGATGGGGATCAAAGATGAGCATCTTCTCTAGCAAATCAACAGCACCAGGTGACATGTTAGGGAATTTAGCAGAGAAATTTTGCCTTGGGTATTGTGGAAGCTGTCTAACGTATCTTCTGGCATTGTCACTTCGAAGGAACCCAAGGCTGGAATCATCAGGGGAACCTATAAGCTATTCCAAGGAAAAGGAAATTGTTTGCAAATTTAGCAGACTTTGTTCAACTTCCATCAAGATAAGCAAAAACTCTTTGTTTAGTTTTGTGGAGGTACGAAAAATATCTACACCTTTTCGTAGGACAAGATTGTCAATAGAATACCAGCACTAATAAAAGAACAAACAAATGCAGATCGCACAGGAAAGCAAAGTCCATGTCAGTTTTACAGAATTAAAAAAAGCTACCAAATAAAGGTAAAAGAGGAAGGAGAGATGGGGTTAAAAAGCAAGTCAACAGCCAATGCTCTTCCTCAATTCATAGGTAGAAGGCTACAGCTTTCAATTTCAAAAACAAAGGAGCATTCTCTTCCTCAGACAATCATAAAACTCATTTCTTGGAGATTTTGATTTTGTATCCTACCTACTTGTTCAGAGATAGCATTTCTTGGATGGCCCTGACTATTGCTGGCTAGACCTCTTTGTTGTTGGAATTCAAGATTATGCAATTTCACTTAAAATTACATCAGAGAATCTCACAACAAAAGGGCTAAAACATATAGGAAAGGAGCATTCCTGTAGTTTCTCGTGAGAAAATTCTAGAAAATATACCTCCGTGATAAGCCTCAGCTGATGCACATAGTCTTTGCCAGGGAAAAGGGGTTGTCTAGTCATGATTTCACCAAGTATGCATCCAACCGACCAAATATCAATTGCAGCAGTGTATTCAGAACAATTCAGAAGCAATTCTGGTGCCCGGTACCAACGAGTAACTACATATTCTGTCATAAAATCAGTTTCAGATGTTGTCCTTGCAAGCCCAAAATCTCCAATTCTAAGGTCACAATTTGCATTCAGAAGCAAATTGCTGGGCTTTAAATCACGATGCAAAACATTGGCTGAATGTACGTATTTGAGCCCTCGTAGAATCTGAAATAGAAAGTACTGCAAGAGTAACACTGCACAATCAACAATGATTCCAGATTCTAAGCTGCTAAACAGTAATCATACTATATTTTCTAACTAAATATGACAACAAACAGCAGGGAAGGTATGTGATACCAACCCGACAATGATCATCTGTCAATGATTGGTTGGATCGTATGATTTGATGAAGATCAGTGTCCATCAGTTCATAAACGATGTAGACATCATTAAAGTTCTCCCTCTGTGGAGGCCGTATGATGTCTTTGATGGCAATCACCTGACGAAAAAAAGGACTGACCAGTTAAACTATAATTCCACATTCAGAGATCAACTTTAGTAAAATCTCATGTCATTATAAAGATCCAGATATACCAATGAACTTTGTTATCTAGGCCTAAGAGTAAGAAACTAACATGAAACCTATCCTATGTTGGTTGCACTATTAAAAGCATTAGTCAAACAAAAAATATATATATCTGATAGGAACACTTAGTTAGTCATGTGCATGTGTCACGGGTCGAGACTTAAGCTCTGAACTCGCGCGGCTCTGGGACCCGAGCATCCACTCATCCAGCCTCCCGGATCAGCCTGACTGCCACGGTTTACACCCTTGTGAGGTATTGTCCGCTTTGGCCCCCTGGCCTCACGGTTTTATCCTACAAAAAGTGCCTCACAAGGGAGAGGTGGTGTGAACCCTTTTATACCCTAGTGACCTTCCTTTTATGTTTGATGTGAGATTCATGACTCTTCCTTAGGTCCGTAACACATGGACAAAATTAAATGTCCCCCAACTTCATCGAAGCAAATAAGGTCTGATAACAACAATTTTCACAAGATTTAATAAAAGCCAGGTTAGATAGTGTTTCCTAACATGCAAATCAATAGTGAAGGTCTATGCACATTATCATAAGACTGGTCCTCGCATAATGATTAAAGGTTACTTAGGGGTAAAAAGTTGATCTTCCCAAGGAACTCAAATCAACAGAAAGGTTTGCCTAAATTCCTATAATTGCACAAACTGGGACAAAATGTGGACAGTCTCCTTTTTAAGGGATGGTCAAAGCCTTGAATGATGGAACAAAAGAATTGTTTCATTTCCACAGATTGTTTAGACGGCCACATCAAGCAAAGAGCCTAATAATTAGGGGTTTATTGACTTAAACAACTTTCATATTGAAATGTCCATCAAATAGGTGAACACGTGAACTATAGAACTAACATAACTGACATTTTCATGATCCATGTGACGAAGAAGCTTGATCTCTCGCAATGTCCTTTTGGCATCAATCCTGTTGTCAAATGCATTACCGATTTTCTTGATAGCAACCTCCTCCCGTGTCTCTGAATTCACAGCAGCACTAAGAAAATGGGAGAGAAAAGCGGAGAGGCATTAAAAATTACCAATTTTGCTTGACATTATTAACAACATATAGACGGTAAGCCTAATAAACAGAATGGTAGGTTTCTATCAATCTCCTCAGCCGGCAAGTTAGGCCTTATATTCATTCACTTCAATTCAATGGGGCCCTGCAGCTTAATTTCATTAAAAACAACCACACTGCATAATACAGCTAAAAATGCTAATGAGAGCCACACTCAAGTGTCACTCTCAATCCTACATGAAGTAACCAAAGGCAAAGGACAATCATTAATTCACCAAGAAGCTGATGATATTGCACTCAAATTTATTAAAAAAAAAAAAAAGAAACAAAAGAAAAGCTACCTAGCCTGTATTATCATCGTAATGAATTTCAATCTTTAATCTGAATTAGAAAGACACTAATCTTAAAACCAAGGCCTTTTTATTATCAAGTTCCCATCGAAACATGTAAATAACTTATTAAAATCAAGAAACTTGATCTAACAAAACAAAAAAATTAACATCACATCTTGAGTTCTTGAAAAACTATCATTTAGAAACCTCACGAGTAAAGACTAAGACAAACCCAGATCATAAAATGAACAAGAACTTAATCAAAATGGGAACTTTAACTAAAACAAAGTGAAAAGAAGAAGGAAGAGAAAATCTTACCAGACAATACCATTAGCACCACGGCCAACGGGTCGAATAGGAGGGACATATTTCCTGGAAACTTCAAACAAGTTACCATAAACGTTGTACTGGACATAGCGTCCACCATGAGTTGGTATTCCTTTGATGCTGTGATCCCCTGACCCAGACTCCATTGACATGCTTCCAGGATCCGAATTTAAGATGACCCGGACCCAAACTCGAGACTCAAAGAAAGATCTTCTGCAGTAACAGGTATAACAGCCAAATTCAGAGAGAAAGAGAGAGAAAAGGCAAGAAAATAGCGTGTTGTAGGTGAAAAGTTTCCCTTTTTTCTTTATCTTTTAATTTCCTTTTGGGTTTTCTACTAATATGTTTTTTTCCAAGATGAGTGTGAACCTTTTGAACTGGAAAAGGTAGAGTCATCCGTGAAGATTCCACCTTTCAGGTACACTTTTTTTCTTTTCTTTTCTAAATTTTTCTACGTTTTCTCTTCTGATGGGTTTCCAGGAAATGGGTAACTGATTTTACAGTTTTCTAAGGATGTTAGTTCTCAGGATTCTTACAGGTTTCTAGCAGCGCACTAAAATTTAGAATTTGTACTTTTTTTTTCCCTGGATAGGATACGATTTTTTGTCTAAAAGCATTCGATTTCACTAATTGCAATACAGTTAATAAATTATAATTTAAAATTGTGTAAAATTTATATTTTTAAGTGGTAAATTTTTATATAATTTTTTATTTTAATTAAATATTATAAAATTATAGCTAAAATATTCCGTTGAATTCAGGCGAAATAGTGGTCTCAATTGGATGGTCAGATGCAATTGGATGGTCTCATGGTGCAGTTGAAGTCTGTTTTTCAATTAAAGGGGATGATTCATTGATTCGGTGACTCCATATCAATCTAAAATAATATATAATAATATGATATAAATATAATAAAAAATTTTAATAAAAATTATATATAAATTTAATAAAATAAAAATATATTTTATATTTTTATATTAATGTAAATTATTATATATAATTTTTATATAAAATATAATATAAATATATAAATTTTAATATTTTATATTATACGAATTCATAAATTATTAAATTTAAAAATAATTAATTTCTTTCTTAAGACAATTATTTTTAGATTAAAATATTTTTTAATTATCATAATTTATTGTCTATGGTCAAGTATTCCATTGTCACACTTTCAAACACGACGGTAGATTATATTTGATTATACAATCAATTATTATAATCAATCTCAATGTATTTATTAATTATTATATTTATATTTAAATATATATTTTTATCATTAATATTAATTTTATTATTATAATAATTAATTTCATCATTATTATTATCTTTTAGATATAACAATTTAAAATTTAATATAATAATATAATATAAATAAAATATACGAAAATAACATAATTTAAAATTTTAAAAAATTATAAATAAATTTAATAAAATTAAAAAATTATATTTTATATTTTTCTATCAATATAAATTATAATATATAATTTTTTATAAAATATAATATAAATAAAATATTTTACACGATAGAATGATATAAATTATCAAATCTATTATCTTTAATTTCATTATTGTTCATCAGATAAAACCTACAACCGTTCATAGTTAAAGATAGTTATTCTCGTGTTCATAGTCAAATGAATGACAGCTATGTCTAACAAATCCATTTTAGCTAAAACTATTAAAATTACTATCATCTTATTTCAGTTTGATAGATAATGTAAAGCAGAACATTTTCCATCTTTCGATATGAAATGCCTAAAATTTTCAGAGCATTTGCCAATTAATCTTTGGTGAGTTGGGACAAAATTCCAAGCCAAAGTTTGGATTTTTGTTAGAAACTCCAAGTCAAGTTTTCTAAATTTTTAATGTCAGAAACATGAGGCTACGAAAGTTGATGCTGAAAAGCTTTACTTACCAGTTGGAAAATTTCCTCATGTAGGCCCATTTCGTAGTTGTTGGTGCCTCAGAGGTCTTCAATTAGATGAATTATTGCACTGTAATATCATGTGGGGTCTAATTGTGGAATACATCTGCTGGTTATTAGTATATTTATGTAATATAAAATATTATATTTATATATTTATATTATATTTTATATAAAAATTATTTGTTATAATTTATATTTATATGAAAAAATAAAATATATATTTTTAATTTTATTAAATTTATACATATTTATTATTAAAATTTTAAATTATATCATTTTTATATTTTATTTATTATATTCGTATTATATTATCGTGTTATATATTTAATTGCTAAATCTATAATATAATATGAGAGACAAAAACAAGAATATATTATTTGTAATTTTTTATTATAATTTTATAATTATTCAATCATGGCAAAAAGTTATATATGTAATTTATCATTTATAAATATAAACTTTTAGCAAAAATTGAATGGATTTAATAAAATTTTAAATTATAATTAATTAATTATATTATGATAATTGTAAGTGAAATGATACGGTATAAACATGAAGGATAAGGATATTGGCAATGGCAGTTGAAGCTAATTGGTTCCAAGATCTGCCAATATAATGTCTTCTTTTATTTTTCTAAAATAACAAAAAAAAAACCTTCAATTTTACAATTTTATTTAAATAACCTCTTATATATTTTTATTACATTTAAATAAGCTTTTAACTTTTAATTTATATTCAAATAAATTTTTAATTTTTAATTTATATATAAATAAATTCTTAATATAAATCAATTTTTCATTTGAAACAAAAATTTATTTAAATACAAAACAAAAGATCAAAATTAATTTAAATACAATAAAAATATAAAAATTTATTTTCAAAATATAAATACTTCAAACATTTTTTTTTAATAAATATGGCCAATGGCCATGCTATGTTGTTACAAGTTACTTAAAATGAAATTATCTCATCCATCATTTGAATATACAATAATCTTTAAATGCTAATATTTATACATACCTCTAATTTTTTTTTATTTCTAAGCTATAATTAGGACCTTTTTGTAGAAAAAATAATATAATAAAAAATACTTGTTAATTATTTAATTTTTCTTGAAAAATCTAAAAATTCTATGAACGAAAAGCAGACTCCATATTTAATATACTAGCATGAACATTGATATTTTATTTTGTGAAAAGTGAATAGGAATATGATTTTTTAAGCATAAAAATACATACAATTTATATCAAGTGCTTAATGTAGAAATATTAATTTTGGATATTAAAACTTAACTTGATAGCTTCCGCTTTATATTTAATTTTATTAAGGAAGTTTTTATGATCAAATTCTTATAAAATTAATTGAATTTTATAATTATTCTTAAAAAACAAATATTCAATAAATCTAAAATTTAGATTTCAACACCCATAATTCTTTTCCTGTTCTCGTATTGTGGCATATTGTAAAAGAAAAAAACGGTTTTAAGAAGACTTTGACAAGATCTACCTCAATAATCAAAGTGATTGTCCAATTATTAGAATCATTGTCAAAGAACTATTAGGTCAAGTCTTGCAAATCAATAGAACGATGAAGCTGAAGGCTTCAGGTTTTCAAAGCTCAGTGCCTGGTAAAAGCAGGAAAGGATGCATGAAGAAGCTGGAGGCAATTTCTTGGCAATTCTGGGCACGACATGGTCCAAGTCAATTAAATTTGAACCATACTTCATTTGGCTGGTCGGTGCTAATACTGGGTTCTGGGTCTTTTGACTCAAGGCACCAAGCAATGCGCTACTAGCCACCAGGTCATGGGCGGCAGCTAGCCTATGATTAAAAAACAACAGTACCAAGAAAATCCCTTCTGCCTTCACCTGCCACTGCCACAATACTATTCTAGATTGAACAACAATTGCCAATTTCACAAAATCCTGATAAATTTGGAAACATTAAGGGCTTAGCTGAATATATAAAAGACCCTGTTCCTAGCATAATTGTTTGTATTACCATTCAGACAACATCCGAGTCCATCTCGTAAAGGTACAAACTTAAAGTCTTAAACCAAGCCCACTGCATTAGAAAAGACGAGTAACTTTATCTTTAGATCCTATGTTTAATCATTAACTAAAATACTAAAAGAACCCCTGAACTTTTCATTTTATTTAAATAAACCCATAAACTTTTATTGTATCCAAGCTCCTATTCTTTGATTTGTATTCAAATATACTTTTATTTCAATCAAAAGATTGATTTATGTTAAAAGTTTTATTTTATGTACAATTAAACATTATGAGCTTATTTGGATACAAATTAAAATTTAAAAACTTATTTTGGTGTAAAATAAAGGTTAGGGGCTCACTTGGGTACAATAAAAGTATAAGGGTTTATCTAAATAAAGTGATAAAGTTCAAAAGCTTTTTTTATTATTTTAGGAATCATAAAGACAGGTAGATTCATCAAAGTTGTCTTCCAATTTCTCAACATTCAAGCCAATTGTGGCAGGATCAAAACAAATATTCAAACTTAGATGTAATCCAAATTAAGACAGTTAGAAGCAAATTCAAGATATCATCCCTAAGGATGCATATGGAAAGATGAGGAGTCACGTTACTCACCATGTAAAGACATTAATCACGAAGGAACTTTCTCCCCAGTTGAGAAGAATATGTTCCTCCTATAATGATTCAGTGAGAAAGATAATATAATAAGTGATGGAATAATGTTCAGACAAAAGAAAATAACGAGAATAGAAAAATACACAACTACGATAGAAATCCTTGAAAAAGTTGAACTTGGATATATTAGACAAATCCACCCCATATCGAACACCCAACATAAAAAAAAATCCAAACAATTGAATGCTGATAAAAACTACATATAATTTATACCTTGTAAAAGCATAGGAAAGCATGTATCTTCAGAGTCATTATTAAAGAATGCTATACATGTCAAAAATATCAGGGAAAAGAGGTCAGGAACACATGGATAACTGATATCCTATGGGAATGATGATTCATAATAACAAGTAGTGAACATTTGCAAACAAATATAAGCATTTTATATAATTTTTGAGTTTTTGACATAGCATGGTACAAAATATGTACAACCACGTAAACTAGTATTGCAACACACCTTACAACCCACACAAACAGACTGCCATTACCCAAACAAGGTGGTAAATGCCTACTAGTGAGAAAACAGAAGGTCTCATACCTTAAACCATCTGTATACAGAAGAGTTTAGCTTCATTACATTCATGATTCACCTCACCACCTGCCCTTCAACATTTCTTCCTAGCATTGAATTTGGGACATCACCACCTGCTCTTAGATTACAAAGCAAAGCATCACGCCCGGTCAAAACTATTTTGAAAAAGCCATCTACTACCTTTGAAAGATTATCTAGCCCCTGTGATAGTTTCTCCGCCTTCATTCTCAAATCTGAAACAGAATTCTTGAAGGATTCCTCTTCAATAGTACCCAACCCATCATGGAGCAAAGGATACAATTTCTTGATACATGCATCAATGGCATCTAGTTCTCTGAGAACTGTAAATTTTCCGCAAGAAAATATATTTCTAAGTTCTGCATTCAAGGTAGTTTGCACTTCAGAAAAAACTTGTGCCCATGGTAGTGTATCAGGAACAGATAAATCTAACAAATTATTGGCCAAACCAGAGAATGCTGCAGCATAGACACTACAAATATATATAGTCACCACTTTAGCTCCATACATTGCACGCATCAACACCTTTCCTTTAGCAGAGTTCTTAACCTTAGGCAAGTTTAATGATTCTACAAGGTTGTCCAAGATTGGGCGACAAGCTTCAACTCTGGGATTTTTTGAGCCACTATGCTGTCTCCAGCTACCAAGTGTGGAACAGGCCTGCATGAATTGCTCTGGGGAGTTTGACTCCAACTTATACAAGACGCACTGAAGTAAGAGATGGCCTTGGTTGAGCCTTGTAAGCTCAGAGGTAAAAGCAATACTTATATCAAGCAACTTCACACTGATGTCCAGGTACACATCTATCCATTTCTCATCCCAACCAGTCACAGGTAGCTCAAGCTCAGTTATCAGTTTTTTTATGTCACAATGAATCTCAGAAAGTGACTCCATTGCCAGTTTCATCCATGACAAGCTAAGGATGTTATCTTTGTCTTTTGGCACAAGTTTTAGCAGCCTCTCAGACAAGGTTGCCTCAAACGCATTCAATAAAGAAAGAAGTCTTGGAGACAACTGAGAACTCTTAGGTGATATCATACGGAAAGGATTTCCAAAATGGAAGAAAGGGCGATGTGGTTCCTGAGGTCGACTCATTTCAATGTATTTACTACAAGACCAGAACATCAAATTCAATCATCATCAAGAAAATCAGACTTCAAAATCAAATCACATTAATAATTAAATGGATTATAACACACATCAAACATCCCTCTCATTTCTAAAAGGTAAATTAACTTGACCCTTCATAAAGACTATACTCAGCAAATGTAACCACCATAATACCTCATAAACACCATAAACAATTAGATAAACTGGATTTCATGGATTTAAACAAATGATAGACAGCAATGAAGACCATATATTCGACACCAAAACCATAACAAATACATGCAAAAGTTATGGTGTAATAATAAATCGACAGATTAAAAAAAAGCAATCAAGGTAATAAACCGAGATCTCCTTGATTGCCTTCATTTCCTCCATGGTTATCCACTCTGTCTTTGCTTTAATTTTACATGCTTTCCTCCTTGAATTTTAGGTCAACTTGAAACAGAGAAAAAGGAAAGTCATTTCTACACAAACTAAAATCGTTCTAAACCTAAAATCTCAACGAAACACTAAAAGTCACATCTTTAAACAGAAATCTTGAACATCAAAAGTAAAAAAAACACATAAACTATAGCCAGATCTGACAAATCTAGAGAAAATCAAACATAAAGTCAAACAGAGAAAAACTAAAATCTCAACAAAACACTAAAAATCACATCTTTAAACACAAATCATCAAGATCCAAAGTCAAAAACACATAAACTAGAGTCAGATCTAATGAATCTGGAGAAAATCTAACACAAACAATCTAGCAACATAAAGTCAAACAAATCTAAAAGTAAATAAACCAAAAAATAAAAGCTTACCAAAATTTTAGATCCTTAGACCAAGCTACTGATTAAACCAAGCAGAAGCAAAATTCTCCACAGATTCGTTACGGCTTTGTTAAACAAATTAAAACCTAAAAAAAATTCAACAATTAAGAATCTTCATCTACAAAAAGAAAAAAATCGTGTTTATTCAGAATCTTACGAAAATCGGATAATTGAAAATGTTAAAAAAAAAAAAAAGGAAGAAAAAAAGGAAAGGAGAGAATTGAACCTGACTTAGTACTCGAAAGGGATTGTGAAATTTCGGAGAAAGATCCAAACGTGGTGTATTTGGGCTTCGTTGAAATTTCGTGTTCGGAGGATGGGGAGTATTGATGAAATCACAGCCTGCTATGGGTAGTTGGTCACAAATGTATACGTGGAAGACGATGAATGGGCCGTCATTTTTGGTTATTTTATTAAGACACCGCCGCCATTTTACTGTAGCACCTAAAAATCAATCAGGGTTGGCACAAATTGATCGGATACAGTAGCTTGTTTGTTTCCCCCAAAATGATTTTTAAAACATAATTTTTATATTTATAAATATTTATTTGATTAAAAAATAAAAAATAATTTATTGATAAATGAAAAATAAGGTTATATTTTAAAAATTATAAAATTGAAAAGAAAAAAAATATTTTTTTTAAAAATTGTTTATGAATATAATTATTTATCAATATTTATGAATATAATTTTATTTATAAATAATATTATATTAATAATAATGTATTAATGAATATTATATTAATTAATTAATATTATAATAATATATTAATAAATAATATGCTATTAATATAATATTATAATATATTAATAAATAATATAATATTAAAAACTAATATTATATTACATTAATAAAATAACAAAAAAATAAATAATTTTATTTTAAGTATTTTTTATATTGACATATTTTTTAATATTAAATATTATTATCAAAATATTAATTATTTTTGTGTGGTTTATTTTGGTACTTTGTTCTGATCTTTTCATTTCCTATTTTCCTTGATGAGGTATTTAACTGCCTTTAATATCTCTTCTTCATTTCTTCAGCCTAATGACAGAACAGCAGATGAGACATGGGCCCCTGACAGTTCTCATTCTTCCAAGTTTGTTCATTTGTTTCTTGATGAAGGTTTGTTGGCGTTTATTACAACTAATCTGGCTTTAAGGCAATCTGCTTAGGTCTCCAAAAGTAATAAAATGTGAGCTGATGATATTATTCTTTTCATCTTGACATTGCAGAGAAGAAACCAGTAGATGATCCTTCCACCGGCATGCCAAAAGACTTGCTCTCATTAATTCAGGGTGGTGAAAAAGGCGGTTTCCATGTTTCTGATAGGATAGCTACTAAGCATGGAGCATCAAACTTTCCATTCCAAATCTCTAAACTTTGCTGACAGGCGTGTTATATCAAATTTGAGGTCTCCTGGAATTGAAAACTCTGAGATATCATGCAATATTAATGATGTTAATAAACCAGCAGCAGTTCCAGCTGTCCTCACATGTGAGGATCTTGAGAAGTCAATTCTGCCTAGAAGCACTGAAAGCGATCCAAACTTTGCCTCCTGCTTTTGAAGACTGGAAAATTCCTGATGCTGAGAGTGGAAAACAAGAAGTTAATATCGATGATCATGCATCCCAGCACCTTCTTTCATTGTTACAGAAGAAAACAAGTATGAAAAATATAATTATCATCTGCCAAAGAAGACAACAGATCTTCAGAAAGCGTACAAAATATTGAAACAGGAAGAGTTGACACTGCACCTTGTGAATCTTTAGAGGCGAATCCAGGAAATGCTCCCACTTCAGGGAAGAGTCTTAACTCTTAAAGCACTTTTTGGAAGTGCTTTCATGAAGGAACTGCAATTAGTTGGAGCACCACCTTCTGTTCAGAAGGGTTCAATCGCGTATGCAAGAGTTGATGTATTAGAATCTAACAGGCTTTCCCTTAATGTCACAGATGATAGTCTTTTTCCTTCTACGGTTCACATTGGGTCAAATAACGATACTTTTGAACCAAATATTTTAGCATTTACCAAAAGAGAGTAGATTAAATCTGATGACATTGAAGAGCATTTGTTAGGCTATAAGGATGCTCGATCTGCAATGGATTCATCATTATCTCAGAGCTGAATTAGGGTCTAAATTTGTTGGTTTTGATGGATCTGCTGAAATTTGGCTTCCTCAAGAGGATAGCTTGATCGGTCAGTGATCCTGTGAAACTCCAGAACTTCAATGCTGGTTGTGTAAAAGCAGAGCTATTGCCCACCCACGAGACACCTATCAATATTTCAGAGAAACTAGCAGCTTCAAAGGCTGTCTTCCGTGATGAAAGACCTGCTGTAAGAGGGCAAGAGGGTCCATCTTTTCTTCCTGGTCCCTATGATATGAGGCAGTCAGATATTCCATTTCATAACCAAATTGTCCAGCCATCTTCTCCACAGCTTCATCCTCCTCAAATGAATCATGGAGGGCCTTTGATTCATTCATTAGATCATCATCCTTCTAAAATCAAGTTCTTGGCTCCAGAAGGCTTCATCCATCATGATGCCTCACGGAATCATCAATTTCCTGCAAGTATGCTTCGCCCTCCTTTCCATCACCTTAGCATTGGACCAACTGGATTTGATCCTCCAACGTATCATCCTATGTTACAACAAATGCCTATGCCTGGAAACTTTCCTTCACCCGACTTGCAACTAGGATTTCCCGGTGGTTCACCACTGCCTCCTCATTCAAATAATCAGGTGTCTGGTTTCATACAGGAAGTGAATCCGATGCATGGTTTTCCATTTGGACATGGTCACCGGCAGCCCCAGCCGAACTTTGCTGAGTCTTGGAATGCCTCCAGGTAAATTATTTAATATGTCTTGTTTCTTTCCCATCCTTACCAATTTCGACTTTGTAAAACCTGCCCACTATATTTCATTCCGGTAATGCCTACAATTGATGTAAAGGACTATCTTATTTGGCTTAAGGTAATTTAAAGAGTATGATAATGCCCATATCAAAACTTGTTGCACAATAATTTTTAATAGCTATGTTAAACACTCAGAAAATCTTAAATTATAATTATTCACAATAATTTTTTATAATATTTTCAAAATGCATCTTTTTCAATTCGAATATATTTTTTTCAAATCGAATTTTTCTTAACCGTAGCATTGATGCTAAAATAAACCTAAAGGTAACTGATTATACTTGAAATTGGCATTTGGTTGAAATTGTCCCCTCTTTGGTTTGTTCTTTCTAAAAGTTGAAGAAGGGGCAAAGTGTAGCTACAAATCAATTGTTTGAAAAGTTATGTCCAAAGTTTCACCGGTCTAGGATTAGGATAGCAGAGATAATTTATATTGAATTTACATATCATTTATTAAAAAAAATTACTGATAATATCAGCATGATTCAAATTTAAATTTTACAAGTAAAATATTCGACCATTACTAATTTAATCAAGAATTAGCATGAGTTAAATTTGTACCTTAAGAAAATATTCGAACTTTATCAGCTCAATTAATTCTCATTGACAAAATAAAATTTTAATTTTAATTTCTTTTCAAGTTTCTTCACCATTAAAAAATGATTTACCCAAACTTTTCACATTGTGACGTTGTCCATTGGCCAACAATAGAAATTGTGTCTGAATTAAACCTCTCTACCATATCCTATTTTAAACCAATAATATTCAATGCACTTATTAAAGAAAAATTGAACATGCTACATCCCCTTAATCCGTTTGTAGAGTTAAAAAAATTTCATTATCATTATATCAAACGGTACATGACAAATGTGACCGAACTTGGGCAATATTTCATTCTTGAAATTTGATTTCTTAACATGTGCAGGTAAATGAATTTTACTGAGTACATGAAAATTGAATAAAATTTGTGTAAAGTTCTTTGTATATGTAGTTTTCAATTTTCAAATTGTTTATTTCAAAAACACTTACCAGAAATCACTGATTCAATAATAAAATATTAGATTAAGGATCATTGCTTCACAATAAATTTTTTTTTTTTTTTTGTACAAAGAATATCACTGTTTTTTTCTTACACAAAGGAGCTTTTTTTTTCTTACACAAAGGAGCTCGACATAAGAGAAATGATAGTAGATGCTGAGATTCGAATTCTAGACCTATTGAATCTATCTTTCAAAGGTGACTACATGATCCAATTTCGTTAAACTTTGGGTTTAAGATCACAGTTATTTCACAAGTAATTCTAAAGGCTTTAGTTTATGAACTTCATTTTGTTGAGAGTGCTCTGTAAGACAATGGTTGATTTACCATCATAAGGATGAAGCCTTATTAAGCCTTATTATCGCCGTAATTCTCTTTTCTCCAGTAATGATTAGAGGATTTAGCCACACATCAAACACCTTTTCATGGATGCTACTTTCTGCTTTTCCATTAAATTTCAAAAAAGAACTGCAATCGGATTATTGTTCCAGGAGAAATTCAGTTCATATAAAACCCATTTCTCAGCCATGAAAAATGAAATGCCGAAAGGAATGGCATTATTTGATTCTTAGGAAATTTGATCAAGGTAAAAGCTCAAGACATCTGGCCCTATTTTAGTCGCTTTGGGACTTAGTGGCACCTGGTTGTTGCGCTGCGTTCTTCTTCTCAGCAGCTTCGGTTGCCGCAGACGCTGCCTTGTCCAAACCCAATTTCTCTAACTCCTTAAAGAAACCATTCACGTCTTCAGCATTCATTTTGTATGGGCTGTGAGAAGGACCGGGGAACGAACCATTTGTTACTTCTTCCTTGTATTCCAGAAGAGCTTTATTGATGACATCTCCTACTCGAGCAAACTGCTTACAGAACTTTGGAGTAACCTGCAGATGGTGAAACAACCCGTTTTTAGAACCTTTTTTTACGAAACAAAAGAATCTGCAAGACAAAGTGTTAATCATGTGCTTAACCTTTGCGTGATGCGGGTGTTGCAGCATTCCAAGTAGATCATGGTAAACTAGAACCTGTATCAACAGTGCAATCAAAATTAACCGCGTGTATCTGATCGTGCAACAAAAATGCCAACCATTTCTTTCTAGTGAAGTAAATAAAGGAAGATTGAAAGGTAAGGAACATGATCATACAACTTCATGACGAAAAAAAATAGCTTTTTAGTCTCCTCAAAACAAATATCATAACACCATATGGTGTGAATACAGAGCAATTCGGTTGAAAAAATCAATAAAGGATTAACACAAAGGACAATCATTTGAACAAAAACTTCTGAAGAAGCTAGAAAGCAATCTGCAGGAAGCAACATTGTTGAGCTTTTGCATCAAACCTACTTTTTTGGTACATAGGAGGCCATAGGGGTTGCAAGTGTTGGGATTCAAACCTCAGACCTACTAGATGCCACCTCTTAAGGATGGCTACATGAACCAACTGAGCTAAACTCCATATTCAAACCTATACCTTACTTTACAATATTTACAAGACAATATCGTGTTTGCTAAAATAACCTGATATTGCATATAACCTAAGCTTTTCCGCATGACAGAGCCAATCAAATATGTTGGTGAAACATTCAAACATAACTATCGTTTTGAGTCAAACTCAGTTTTCAAGGACCAATTTCTGCTATGGATTCATATATAAGAAAAAAAGACCCTTGAGGTCCATAGTATCCTAAGAACTGCTGTGCTATAGCATCAAACTAAGCTTTTCTCTCTGATAGCGTCAGCCAAATAAGTCTGTTATATGTCATCAGCCCTGAATGGAGATGCCAATGCCACGAACATGTTCTCTTCTGTTTAACTTAATATACGAAGGAACTAACCATGGAATCAGACAATGGTTATGAAATAAAACTAGAAACTGTAAACCCTCCGAATTTCCCCATTATTAAAATGCAATCCATGGTTCTGCTTTTCTAATGAAATTTATACAGAATGGGAAACCTACTATATGTTCTAAGCTTGATTGAACTGCAATTCACCTCTTTTTCTTATTAAATTTGATAGGCAAAAAGAAATCGATTAGTTTATGATGCCCAACACCAAATTCTATACCAAAACCCGGCATATAATTAAGGCAATGTGGGCACATAGATTTTAAAGAGCCAGAAAGAATAACAGTCCAAAATTAACCTGTCCACTGCAAAAAGGACCAGCTCCAATCCCAATTGTGGGAATTTGGAGAGCAGATGTGACTGCAGCAGCAACAGGTGCCGGAACACATTCCACAACAACCGAAAAGCATCCAGCTTCCTGCAAAGCCATTGCAGTCTCTACAACCTGGATAAACCAACCCAAATCAACATGCTCAGAGACAAACATATGAATATAATCAAAGGTAATACAAAATATGACTAGGAAAGAGACCTTGACGGCACTAGAAACATTTCTGCCCTGTGGCCTGAATCCCCCAAGCACACTGATTGCCTGAGGAGTAAGTCCCACATGTCCTATGACGGCGATTCCGGCTTCAACAATAGCTTTTGCTGCAGTGATTCTCGCAGGGGACCCTCCTTCCAATTTGATAGCATCCATCCCTCCTTCCTTTAAGACCCTAACCGCTGTATCAACTGCCTGCTCATAAGCCAAACAGCAATAACATCAAACATCACCAACTGACACTTACCCCAAAAGCAGACCGATGACACCAAACGAAAATGATAAAAAAAAAAAAAATAAGGTCTAAAATTTTAGAAAAAATAATTTAACAAAAACAAAAAAAAAAATGTATTTCGAGTATGGCTTTTCAACAAGCATTGTGCAACTTAATTTTATTTTCGTGTCAAATATGATACCACGGATACGCGAATTATTGGTATTTTACAGGACACAAATATTACCAGATCTACCCAAAAGCCAATTTCCAACAGCAACATTTGCTCCATAACATAATAGAAGAAGAATTTGTCCTAAGAATGTAAGCTTAAAAGAACAGAATTTATTCAAACAACGCTACTTCATCAATATGAAATAATACTATGTGGGCAAAAGGGAAATTTTGTGTTCATGGAGTACCTGACTGGTGTCGGTCTCATAGGTCCCAAAAGGCAAGTCACCAACGAGTAGCGGCCGCTTGGCGCCGCGAGCAACAGCCCGGCAATGAACGAGCATTTCCTCAAGTGAGATAGGGAGAGTGGTATCATGGCCGTGAACCACCATAGAAGCAGAGTCTCCAACGAGGCAAATATCAATGCCAGCGGTGTCGAGGTGGACCCCTGATGGGTAGTCATAGGCTGTGACAACGGTGATAGGCTCACCCTTCCTGTATTTTTGCTTCAGCTGGTTAAGGGTCACTCTCTGGTCGGTGGTTTGAGGCTTTGGGCCACCATAGACGGTGTTCTCCGGCAGGTTACTCATGCAGCGACTTAGGCAGGCTCTGGCCAGTGAAGAAGCCTTGGACAACCTTGTTAAAAATGCCATTCTGGAGGTTTTGAGAGAAAGAGAGAGGGCAAAGATGTTCGATGTTTTTGGGGTTGAAGTGAATGAGAGTGAGAAGTTGTTTCTTTAGTATCGACTATGGTAGTTGTTGGTGATTTGGGAAGTGTTAAGTGACGAAATCGGTGAGGCAAACAAGGTTGGCGGTAGGTTTTGTGGCTGCGCCACCTGCATCGATTGCGAATGAGAAGTTTGATTTCCAATTTCCCACGCTTTTGTCCTTGTTTATTTTATCCCCACGCCCCATCTGCCGCCACTCCCCCCGTTAGGGGCGAGCAAAAAAAAATCAAGAAAATTAAAAATTATTTTAAAATTATAATATTTGATTCAGTTAATATTAATTTTTTATTTAATTCATATTAAAATTGAAAATCAAATTTATATTTTAGGTTTCGATCGGGAATTAAAATTAAAAAAAATTAATTGAATCGAATTATATTTTTATTAATTATAAAAATACTTATGTTATACATAAATTTATTTAAATATATTAAAAGTTATATTAAAATATATAAAAAAATAAAATTTAAATTTAAAATAACAACGAACTAAACTTAACTAATAAAATTTAATTCAAATTCAAATCAGATTTTAAAAATTCATAATTTTATATATTATTTAAAAAATTAAATTGAATTTAATCATATATAAATCGTTATCACTTTTATTCTTATCATTTTTTGACAATTATATTTTCATACAAAGTAAAATATTAATAAATTATATATTTATAACATATTTTATATAAAATTATTTATCATAATTATTATTATTATTTTAATTTTTGTTAAATTATATATAATTTTATTAAAATTTTCACTACTTATTATAGAAAGGATCAAAGGAGGCATAATATGCGAGATTAGGATTAGAAACCAACAAAAACCATCCTAACTCCAATAATTGACATAATTAATAATTTATCTGATACGTTTGATTTTGATGCATTATTAGTAAAACTTTTTTAATTTTATAAATAAAATTAAAAAAATTGATACATATTTTATATTTTTTAATTACCATATAGAACAACAGTCATATTTAAAGTTATTCAAAAAATAATGAAAAAGGAGGAATTAAAAAAAAAAAGAAATTGACAATGTGGTTACTTTGATTCATCTATTGTCCTTCTATTTTTATTATTTATTTTCAAATTTCATTTTTGTTATCATATCTAATAGTAATTAAATTTTTTATGATAAAAGTTATGAAGGTAAAAAGAAAAAAAAGAAATGTGAGTTTAAAAAAAATTTATTGATGTATGGGTATTTATTGTTTTAAATATAAAATATGTGATTGATTCTAATTATTATTTTATTTAGGTACTTAAAATTATGTTTGGTAAGAAAAAAATGAAAGAAAATGCTTATTTATGAAATCCTTATCTAAATCTTTAAGAAAAAATGGAAAACAATCCTCGAAATAGAAAAAGGAAAGCCTTAATTTATTTATGTAAATGATTATTTGATTTCGCGTGCCTCATGCACGCGCCCTTGTGAGCGTTGAGTTTCTATTCAACGTTAAAGATCTGAAATGATCTTCAGATGTCTCGCCTTCCAACAACTCAAGAAAACCTAAATATCTAATCTTCAAAACAGTACGGTCAAACTCAAATCCAAGTGTCGTTTCCTATCGGTTAAAAATTCCACGCACCCTAGACTTCAGTGTTCCGAACATATTCGCAACTCACGCGCAGCCTTCCTTGGCACTGCTCCTCTTCATTGCCCATTCTCGCCGCGATTCTTTCACCAATCCCATCCGTCAGTCTCTGTCTGGTTCCATACCTATAGGTCTCGTGACAGCGCTCTTCAATTAAAAATATAAATGATGCATAACTCATAAATTATTTGTATTTAATTAAAATAAAATATAATTTTAATTTGATAATTATTAAATTAAGTTTGAGCATATTAACTTATTGAACTATTTGAATTTAAACATTTTAATATATGATTTTAATAATTCATAAATTTAATTATATTTTAATATTTTAATATATATTTTAATATTTTAATTAAAAAATTATTATTTTATCTTTATATATGAATTTGAACTCAAGTATTAAAATAAATAATCAAATTTAAAGTCGAACATGCTAATCAAATTTTTTTTTATTCAATAAATGAATCTAATTAAATGAATTCAAGTAATTTAACTTTTATTTCAAGTTAAATTTGAATTTAAAAATTACAATTCAATCGATATCAAATTGAATTTCGAATAATAAATTTCGAGTTGAATTCAAACTTAAATTTTTTATTGTATTCACTCAATTAAGATCGATCACATCCATAACTATAATTCAAAACATGACATGATATATAAAAAGAAAATAATAATATATCGATATATATATATATATATAAGTAGCACAATATAAATTTTTAATAAAAATTATATATAAATTCAATAAAAATAATTAAAAATCATATTATATATTTTTTATATCAATATAAATTATAATATATAATTTTCATATAATCCAATATTTTATATAATACAAAGATTGGACTGAAACTAGGCATTGGACCGTCTTGGATGAGGTATAACACAGTTCATTCTCTATTCTTGATCAATGTGCTTATGCATGCAGAATTGCATTTTGCATATCAGCTTGTAGCTATTACATCCCTCGTTTTATTGATTGTGTGGAGTTATGGCAATTTTGTTGGGTTACTTATTTGAAAAAGAGCTAATAGTACGTTTTTTGGTAAAGTGAGTGAAATTTTTTATTAAAGATTATTAAATAAAATTTAGATTAAAAATTTAAATGAATAGATTAAAATTTTTTATTGCATAAATTAAGTAATAAAATTTGAAAATAAATTTTGAAAATTGGATAAATTTTTTAAATAGTTATTTTAATTAAAAATTTTAACAATATTTTTATCATTGAATAAATATTAATCAAATTAGAATTATAAATGATAATTTTAATAATATTTTATATATTATTGATATTTTCATTGAATACTATTAATCTATTAATATAACTTTTTTTATTCACATTTTTGTTAGATTATTTTTAATAATTAAATTTTATTTTAAAAAATAATGCTTTTAACTGGAGGGATACCTCCAGTAGGATATGGATGTACTTTATCGCTTTAGATATGGTTAATTTAGATAAAAAATTTTCCTCTAGAAGCTTGATTAGGAACATTGCACCTTGGCCATTTGGTTGGGTAATTGGTAATTGCGCAAGTCAATATCAACAGCCTTAGAGGCGGCTTCCCAAAGTGTTTTAATATTGAAATATACATAGTGTACCTCAAATCCATCATGACAATTATCAATCTTCAAATTACAAAATCTTCAATTGTTAGAAAATTCATTAAAAAATTTTTTTACAACGAGATCGTAATTTGAAGATAAAAAAATTTGAAATTTTAATATTTAAATTTTATTTTTTAAAAATAATTGTATAAATTAATTGAATTAAATTTCATACTCAAAATTTTTTTAATTTTAACTCCAACAATCTTTTAATTAAACTTTGGTCTATTGAAGTCCAATTTTCTAAGTTTTTTTTCCAAAGGGATTGTGATGTAAATGTAAAATATGGAAATACAATATAAATTTGAAGCTAATCTTTTAAATTGACTGCAAGTTTTGTATATTTATCATTTTAAAAAGGCTGAAGAAAATTACAAATTCTTTAATTCTTAGAAAAGTCATTAACTTATTTTTTTACAAAAAATATCGTAATTCAAAAATAAAAAAATATAAGTTTTGAGATTTGAATCGTAAATATATTTAATGGTATTTTGTAAAAAATTATTATATAAATCAATCGAATTAAATTTCATATTTAAAATTCTTTTAATCTTAACTCTAAGAAATTTTTAATTTAACTTTGGTGTATTGAGTGTCATATTTTCTAAGTTTTTGCCAAGGGATTGTGATGTAAATGTAAAATATGGAAATGCATCAGTAAATGTGAAGCTAATTTTTTAAATTAACTGCAAGTTTTGTATATTTATCATTCTAGAAAAGAGCTAAAGAAAATTACAAAATCTTCAATTCTCAAAAATTCATTAGAAATTTTTTTTTCACAAAGAGATCATAATTCAAAGAAAAAAGTTATAAATTATTAGAGTTGAACCTTAAATACGTTAAACCTCATTTTTTAAGAATGACTAGATGAATAAATTAAATTAAATTTCGTGTTCAAAATTCTTTTAGTCTTAACTCCAATAATTTTTTAATTTAACTTTGGTCTATTGAATGTCCAATTTTCTAAATTTTTTCCAAGGGATTGTGATGTAAATGTAAAACATGGAAATACAATAGAAAATGTGAAGCTAGTCTTTTAAATTGACTGCAAGTTTTGCTTATTTATCATTGTAGAAAAGAGCTGAAGAAAAAGAAGGCTAATCCACTTATTAATAATTGCCAAAAAAAAATGGTTAGTGGTTCCCTCACTTCTGATTTAACTATGATGATGTTGTTCATCAATTTGTCAATGCCTTGGAATTATGTCAGTTGAATTCTAAACTTGATTCATGCCTTAGTCTTAGCAAGGTAGGTAACACTAACATTTATTTATTTATTTATTTTTCTATTTGAGGCTGTTAATTACATTGAAATTTTGATTATTAAAATTAAAGTTTTAATATTTTATTATTAATGATGACATTGATGAAAACAACTGCTTAAAAATTTTACAAAATATCTTTGCCCAAAAAAAAAAAAAAATTCAGATAGTTTTTATGTATTTGTGAAAAAAAAAAGGGTTGACTAGTTATATATTATTGACTTGCTAGGAGCAAATAAAATAACCCTTTAGTCAAAAATTAAATTCAGATGATTTATAAAAGCAACCAATAAGAAATCTTAATATTCACAAACTTTTTATTATTTTTTAGTTGTAGTTTTTTTAATAAAAATTTACAAACTAAGATGTAATTAAAAAATATTTACTTTTTAAGAAATAATTAAAGAAAATTTTAATAACATCATTTTGATGCGAATTAAGTTTAACTCAAATGGTAAACATGGAAGAGATTCGATAAAAATTTAAATTCAAGAATTTGTTTTTAAATAAAAATAATGAAATTTTTAACTTCGAAATTAAAAAGATGTCATGTTTTTAATTAATTTTTTTATTTTTAAATATATTTTAAAAATTTTGTGTCATTTTATTAATTCACTTGTAAAGTTAATTTAAAATCTATATATTAACAACAAGATAATTTCTCTAAATTTAAACCATAATGCTCTTTTTCCAAAAAAAAAAAAAATTTAACAAAGGAGAGCTCTATTATATACATACATATATATATATATATATATATATATAGAGAGAGAGAGAGAGAGAGACTCCAAGTCAACATAAAGCAGCTTGAAATTTTGGTTAGGAACACAAAAAAAAAAAAAAAAAAAAAATCTAAATCAAATGATATGTCAATTGAAACAACCCACAAAGTCCACCACTTACACTTCCACTTGCATTACTAAAAGATTATAAAACCACAAACAAAGTCTCCTAAACCAACAAATTTCTCTAACTGATCATCCCATCATTTCCTTTCCCAACCTCCTGCCATGGTGGAAGGGGATCAGGTAAGGCCTCTAGCACCGGCTACAGACCTTCCAAGCAGTGACAATGGAGAGGCTGCTATGCACCTGAAGAAACTTCGACGCAAGAAATGCATCAAATGTTGCGGTTGCATTGCAGCTCTACTCGCCATCCAAGCTGTGGTGATCATAATTTTAATCTTCACAGTGTTTCGAGTCAAGGATCCAACCATCAAAATGAACGGTGTCACTGTCACTAACCTGGAGCTCATCAATGGCACCACAACCCCAAAGCCAGGGTCCAACATCTCTGTCATAGCCGATGTTTCAGTCAAAAATCCCAACGTAGCATCATTCAAGTACAGGAACACCACCACAACACTTTACTATTATGGCACAGTGGTCGGAGATGCCCGAGGTCCGGCGGGCCATGCAAAGGCCCGCCGGACCATGCGGATGAACATATCCGTTGATATTATCGCGGATCGGCTCTTGGCCAGTCCAAATTTGACTGCGGATGTGAGCTCCGGGACGTTGACCATGAGCAGCTACTCGAGAATTCGAGGAAGGGTCAATATGTTAAACATTATAAAGAAGCATGTGACTGTAAAGATGAATTGCTCCATGACAGTTAACATCACCAGCCAGGCAATTCAAGAACAGAAGTGCAAGCGAAAGGTTGATCTCTAGACTCTAGGCTATGTTTGCCTTGCCCGGTTTATATATATACATATATATATATATATATGTATGTATGTATATAACATTAGATACAATATAAGATTAGGGATTTAGTTCGGTTGTTTCATCCAGCCACTCGAAGTGGTGTTCATTACATTTTTTTTTTCAAGAGTAAAATACACAATTAATCACTCAATTATATGAGTGTTTTTAAAAATGACCGTCTAATAATTAATTTTTTTAATTTAGTTACTTAAATTTGAATATGTATTTTTTTTTTCACACAATTGTTAGTCTATAACAACAAGCTAACATAATATTATCACATTAGCTAATTATGTATTACGTGAAATTATCACATCAACGATCATGTATCACATGACATTGCTACATCATTTGATATGCTACATAATGTATTGATAGTTAGTGTGAAAGATGATGTGGCAGTATTATATAGTACTTGATAATTGATGTAGTAGTACTATGTCAACATGTCATTAAAAACTAACGGTTAAATGATAAAAAACATATTTATTTAAATTTAAGTGATTAAATAAAAAATTAATAGTTAGTAACTATTTTAAAAATACAAGTATAATTGAGTGATCAATGATATATTTTATCATTTATTCAAATCATAATATTTGTAATTTTTTTCTATATTCAAATTACGATTTTCTTTGTAAAATATATTAGATACTATATAGTTATGTGAACATGTGGTTTGATTATAATTTTTCTTGAAAAAATTGATTTTAGTGCTTCAATTTAATTTAAAATGATTTTTTTATTTGTCATATAATCGCTTCTATATTTTTTAATAATGCAAAACATACCAAAGAGGAATAGGTACTTTGTCACCTAAAATTAGATTCAACAATTTAATATTTGTATCGTATAAAATATTATTAATTTATGTATTTATATTATATTTTTTATAAAAATTAAGTATTATAATTTGTGTTAATATAAAAATATAAAAAATATTTTTTCATTTTATTAAATTTGTATATAATTTTTATTAAAATTTTAAATCATTTTACATTCATATATTTTTTATCATTTTGTATCATATTTTAAATTATCAAATCTACTTAAAATCAAATGATAATAAATAGAGATGTTATTTAATATAAAATTATAAAAAAATTAAATTATAATACACATTAGATAACTTTAATAGACCGTTATCACATATAAACATAAATTATTATGTGACAAACTAAAAAAGATGTATAAAATGTAAATCACGAAACATGATTATGATGTTACATTAAACCTTCAAACTAAAACTTAAAATTTAGTTAGATTTGTATCTTCAAAATCTCTACTTCAATATTTTTTGCAGTGATTAATTCTTGAATAATAGAATTGCTATTAATAATTTGACCTATCCATAGCCCATTGTGCATTGAGATGACTTTCTTTGAAAACAAAAGAAAAAGGAAGAAGGGGGACGTGATGACAACTAGCTCCCCTGCTCATCCATAGGACCACTTTCTTTTTGTGGGATTTCTCTCAAATTTGGCAATGTTTAATGGTCGAGGCAAAGTCACAAGTACCCTACATTGTTTAAATTGTTAATAGATTTATCTATTGTTTGAAATGTTCATGCCTTTAGCCTTTTCCTGACATCTTGATGAAATTATATGTATTTCCCTGTTTTTGAAAATGCCCAAGCATTGGCTTCACAAAAGTACACTTAAAAGTACAGATATTTTAACAATTATCATTTTTTTTCAAAGACAGAATACATTATTAATCCAAAATCGAATGATTTGAAGTAACGTTAAATCTCATATAAATCACTAAGCACACGCCTAAATTAATGACAGGGCACGCTAGAACGAAGGGAACAATAGATTTGTCGACCGAAGTTGCAGCTCACAGGCAAAGTCGTACTTTGTCTGTACCCTTTATCTTCAGTGTTTCATCCACTATTTCTCACCTTTATCCCTTTTTTTTTCCTCCGAATCTGTCGCTCTCTTGCTTTGCTTCTCCGTGAAAATCTGTTAAAAAAAACCCAAAAAATGAGAAATCCATTGCCATTTGCCAACTGCTTTGTTCCTCTTTGACAATTCAATGCCATTGTAGCCATATCTGTTTACTCATAATATTCACAAGCTTTCTCTGTTTCTGTAATAAATGAACCATAGAACACATAACACACCCTTGCAGTCTTGTCTTTGATTTGTTAGTTGGGTGTGTTTTTTTTTTTTTTTTTTTCGTTTCTTTTAATTGAGCTGGTTTTTTGGGATGAGAATGTACATGGGTTCCTTGGAAAGTGGGATTTCATTGAAGAGAACTCGTAGTAGAAACGAAAGAAACCCGTTTTTATGCCGACCCAGATCGAGTTTTTCTCCTTTTTTGCTCTTGAAGAAGCTAGATTATCTCCAATGGATTTGCATGGTTGCTGTTTTCCTGTTCTTTGTGGTGTTCTTTCAGATGTTTTTACCTGGTTCAGTAGTGGACAAATCTCAAGATTCCTTTTTGGGTGATAAAGATTTTGTATTTGGAGAATTGAAGTACTTGAAAGAGATGGGAGGGTTGGATTTTGGTGAAGATATCAGATTGGAACCATGTAAGCTTTAAGAGAAATTCCAGAGAGAAAAGAAACAAGTGCATTTGGATTCTTCATCTGGTTTCAACAGGAGTCAATGCCGTTTTCAATGTAGAAAGCCTTAGCTTGCATTGGTTAGTGCAAAAATTCTTTTACTTTTGTTCATTCAATGCTGTTATTACTTATTTATAGTTTTTTTTTCTTTCAAAATTTATATTTGAAGATGTTTGCTGATCTACTGGTTGACCCACAACAATTGCTAATGGTGACCATTGCAACTGCATTGAGAGAGATTGGTTATGAAATTCAGGTAAATGACATTGAGTTCTGGACATTTCATCATTTGTGAGTTTTATTTATTTATTTATTTATTTTTTTTGGGTTTTAATAGTTAGAAATCTGGTTGTGAGTCAAGAACACTCTACATGTCTTTTCAGTTGATAACTTCATGCTTATATTGCTGGGCATGTTGGAAGTGATAGTAGTGACTATGACTTACAAAATCTTAGCAAATGAAGTAATGGATTCATCTTAGCTTCATGTGTTTTAATTTCTTCCTTGGAAGGTTTGCTCCCTTGAAGATGGTCTTGTGCACAATGTTTGGCAAAATCGGAGTTCCCATCACCATTCTTAACGACAATTCAAATGAAACCGGAGTTGATTGGCTGAAGTATGAGCGTTTGTTTGTTAATCTGTAATAAATCCACTTTAGGATTGATATTTTACATGACAATGTTTAATTAAATGTCTTCATCTTACATAAGCAATTAGTGAACTGTTTATATATTTATTATTGGTTATTTGCATTAATTCTAATATTAAGAAATTTGATTATGTGATTATGGACTTATTTCACTTCCATTCAATATAACCTATCCTTCTTTTTTCTTCAAAATGATTGACTTTTTCCTCTATAAAGGTTTTTTTTTTTTCCTTTCGATATGTAATTATGATATATCGTTTTGCAGCTATGATGGCATACTTGGCAGCTCTCTTGAGGCCAAGGTGCATTATCTAGTTAGGATGCAAGACAAACTTCCAAGTTCCAAATTCTTCTCCTGCTCCTTTTCCCCTTCTTTATTCCATTCTCTTCTCGATAGACTCTTAGTCATTTTCTGCTGAAGAAGACTTATTACACCACATCTAAGGACAAACTGCAATTCTCCGAAGTTAGAATTTTTACAAATGAGCTTGTTAGTTATTAATTAGAAATCATAAAATTGAGTTTTTTAAAAAGAAAACTTTAGGCTTTTGTTCAGCTAAAATACTTGATTTTTAATTTTTCATCTGGCTATACTCTGTACTTTACCTATCTCTTTCAGAATTTTAAGATCATTGCTTTAGCTTACATGCTGAAGACTTCAATTTGTTTTACTTCATTCTTTACGATGTATGGTTAATAGATTCGTCTGGAAGAGGTACTTGTTTGAATCAATTAACATGAATGAGTTTACTTGTTATAGTTTTATGCAGGAACCTTTCAAGTCTCTTCCTCTTATATGGACCATTCATGAAAGAACTCTTGCTGATCGTTCTAGACAATACACTTCAAGTAGGCAGATTGAGCTTGTGAATGATTGGAAAAAAGTTTTCAACCGTGCTACTGTTGTTGTCTTCCCAAACTATGTGCTTCTGGTAATATTTATTAGATAATTAATTATTTGTTTGTTAACATATCAGAAACTGAAAATGGTGAAATGGTATAGGTTTTATGTTTAGTCCCATTGAGAAGTTCTGAACAATTGGATAAGTGTATGCAACTAAGTGATAATGCTCCTATTTATTAGAAAATGTTCTAGTAACTGGTTTATACATTGAGCCAATTTCTACTTCAATGCCTAGTTCGTGTGACTTTATTCGCCTAATGCCCATGCTTCTAAGAGTGGTTTTTAATTTGGCATTCGTTTCTAGTGATTTATTTCTTCCTGTACCTTCTGCAGATGATCTATTCTACATTTGATACGGGAAACTATTTCATTTTTCCTGGTTCTCCTACTGAAGCATGGAAAGGAGAAAATGCAATGAATATGTATAAAGATAAGCAGCAATGAAGATGGGTTATGGACCTGCTGAAGTTCTCATTGCAATTGTTGGAAGTCAAATTCCCATCCTAAGATCATTGTTTTAAGCAGTGATCAACAAGCAACTACAGCATGGCTGTTGAGGTATGGCCATAATCACTTTATAGAGTGCTCTGGTTAAATTTATATGTGGACATAGTTTTAAAGCTTCTCATTTCTCCATATCACATATCTTCCTTTTCCCCAGCGAATTGCTCTTAACTTGAGATATCCAAGTGGTGTGGTGAAGCATGTTTCTGTTGATGGAGATGTCGACAGTGTTCTGAGCATGACTGACCTTGTGATATATGGCTCGTTCCTCGAGGAGCCATCATTTCCCAAAATTTTAATAAAAGTCATGAGGCTTGGGAAACCAATCATAGCACCAGATCTGTCCAATATCAGGAAATATGTAAGCTTCTATCACTGTTTCCTTTTGATGCATATTCTAGTTCATCAGGCAGACTACTTACTTTGTATTGGCAATAACAATCAGGTAGATGACAGGGTAAACAGCTATCTTTTTCCTAAGGAGAATATTAAAGTTTTGACACAGATCATAATGCTAGTGATATCAAAAGGAAAATTGTCACCATTGGCGCGCAACATTGCTTCAATTGGGAGAGGAACTGTTAAAAACTTGATGGTTCAGGAAACTGTTGAAGGCTATATCTTGCTACTGGAAAATGTTCTCAAGCTTCCATCAGAAGTTGCACCTCCTAATGTTGTCATAGAAATTCCTTCAAAGTTGAAAGAAGAATGGCAGTGGAATCTATTTGAGGGTTTTCTAAATTCTACATTTGAAGACAGGAATTCCAAATTTTTAAACAAGTTAGAGGAACAGTGGAACTGTACTCGAAGAGAGAGGTTTGGTTCATTAATTGCTATGAATGATTCATTTTCATATGAGATTTGGGAGGAAGAAACAAAGATGCATAGTATCAATACTAAAAGGAGACGGAAGGAACTAGAGGTAAGAACTGTTCTGGGAAATAGAATACTATCCACAAATAGCTGAACAATTTCGGCAGTCTTTGTTTAGGTTGCTACTTAATGAAGCTCCATGCTCTTTAAAATATGTTGTAGTTGAAAGATAGAACTGATCAACCTCATGGCACCTGGGAAGACTTATATTGAAATGCCAAGAGGGCTGACCGTGTGAGGAATGACTTGCATGAAAGGGATGAAAGAGAGCTTGAAAGGACTGGTCAACCATTGTGTATTTATGAACCTTACTTTGGTGAATGAACCTGGCCTTTCCTGCACCGAACTTCATCGTGGAATTGGATTGGTGACTTAGTGAAAGCATCATATTGGGTTTGCATTTTTGTTTTATTCCACTATTGATTTACATAAAATGAAATTTAGAAATTCTATTGAAAGTTACTTTTAAACAATTAGATTCCCATTTCTCCTTTTATGAAAGAAATAAAAGTTGTAAAAGGAAGAGTATGCATGGCTGGAATCCTTAGTTTTGATGAATCTGCATGAAGCAGTGGCAACTTGTATCCTGTAGTCTGATTTAACTATGTCTGATGGGTGTTGCAGTCCACTAAAGGTTGAAGACCCAGGATGGATGATGTTGATGGACCATCTCGTCTGCATCTGCTTAACAACCCATACTACCGAGATACTCTTGGTGAATATGGGGCCTTTGTTGCAATTGCTAACCGGATTGAACGTCTACACAGGAATGCCTGGATAGGGTTTCAGTCGTGGAGAGCAATGGCTAGGAAGGTATGTTAATGGGTGACCTCCCCCCCCCCTGAAAATTTTTTTTCTTGTTTCTTTATTTTCCTTCAGAAAGCTCTTTTACCTCTTCATTTTAAACACATCTTTTTTTTTTTTTTTTGTGGATTAATTGATGAGAATTATGTCATTTGGCTTAGCAACACCTTAAATGAAATATATTTGTTCTTCTATTTGTGCACTTGACTCTTTCATATATAATTGTGGGGTGAAAACAGGCATCCTTGTCTGAGATTGCTGAAACTTCATTGTTAGACGCCATTGAAAAGCGCAAGTATGGTGATGCACTTTACTTTTGGGTTCAGATGGACATGGATCCAAGAAATAGCTTGCAGCACGACTTTTGGTCATTTTGTGATGCTATAAATGCATTGCAAGTAAGAGCTGTAAAGTTTATCAATTATTTCAAATGCAAAAGCATGGAATTTTACAAAAATGCATAAATATATTTACTGTACTATCATAGTTGCTTGCCTCATTTATCATTTCATTGCAGGTTTGCATTCTCTGAGGCTCTTAAAAGGATGTATGGCATAAAGCACGATTTGACTTCGTTGCCATCCATGCCTGCAAATGGAGGCACATGGTCTGTTATGCAGAGTTGGGCTTTACCAACAAAGTCGTTCCTAGAGTTTGTTATGTTTTCGAGGTGAGAGTTGTTACACTTAATGACTTCTCTCCATGAACAGTTTAAACTACGTCAATTTGTAAACTCAACATGTATCATTTGCAGGATGTTTGTGGATGCATTAGATGCACAAATGTATGATAAGCACCATCAAAGTGGTCACAGTTACTGAGTTTCTCAAAGGTAACTTGCTTATTTGGATTGATCTTCTCTTTCAGACAAGATTTAAATTCAACCACTTTGTTTGCTCCATCTCTTGCTATTAAAATCAATCTAAAACTAGAAAACTACCCGAGCTACGTGGAAAGAAATAGGCATGCTATTAACTTGCTTTTTTTTTTTACTCGGCTACTTTTGGAGGCACAAAATTCGATCAGGATGCTGCAAAATTCCATATTTTACAGAATATAGATCTCACCCCTTCTGTGCTCCTCAAGGGAGTAGATTCCGATATACTTTTTTGCAAGTCAATTAATTCTGCAGTATTCAATGTAGTAATTGTGTTCTACAGGACAAGCATTGCTACTCACGAGTCCTTGAGCTACTTATAAATGTTTGGGCGTACCACAGTGCACGGCAGATGGTATACGTGAATTCTGGGACTGGAATGATGCAAGAATACCACCAGTTCAAGGGCCGGAGGGGTAAAATGTGGGTCAAATGGTTTTCCTCCACTTTAAAGGCTATGGATAAGGATTTGGCAAGAGATAGCGGTGTAATCGAGTCAAGCTGATACAGTGAAAAGTTTGAGTTTGAGTTCGAGTTCGACTCTCAACTCGCAGATTGATATTCGACTCGAACTTGATCATATTTTATTTTCTTAATTCGAGCTCGATTCGTGATCGAAATCGAACTACTCGAGTCCATTCGATTAAACTCAATTAATATATAAAAATAAATTCAATTCTTAAACTTGACAAAAATACGATTATTTGTGTTCGAATTTAAATTCGAATTCGAGATATTTTATTAATTAAAATAATAAAAAATATTTAAATATAAAGTTTCGATTAGATTCACAAGTTACTTAAATTGGATATAAAAATATTTAAATTTAACTCGATCGATGAGATGAGTTACTCAACTTTGAGCTTGATTCGACAATAATCAAATCAAATTCAAGTTTTATTCGAATCGAACACGAGTAGTTTTTGAGTGCTAATATATCATTTACACTCGTAGACAGAGGAGGCCGATTCCGACCACCCAAAAAGACGATGGTTATGGCCATCAACAGGTGAGGTTGTCTGGCAAGGTGTACTTGAGAGAGACACAGAGAAAGCATCGCAACCGGCAGAAAGAGAAAAGGAAGCAAAAAAGGATAAACAAGAGAGGATGAGACATAAACACCATCAGAAGGCATTAGGGAAGTATGTAAAAGTGAAACCCCTCACTGTAAATATGGTAAACTCAAATTCAACAATAGTAGCATCAGGTTAATTTTCAACTGTGTTTTGCAACCTTAGCAGTTGATCTAATTTGATAATTCTTTAACTTTGTATTCTTTTTACCCTATTTTTTCATTCTATTCCATATTTTTGTCAGAAAGGATGCATTATTTGTGTACATGTGAGTATTTTTGTATGTAGCTAACAGCATCTTTCTGGTCATTGACATTCACGAATGGCTCAAATTGTATGGTAGTTCTCTCCCTTTTTCTGCTCAGTTTCAAATTCTATTCCAGCCAGTTTCAAATTCTATTCCAGCGACTGAACTTCTCCTACCCATGGAATTGATTTGGGTGAGTTTGCACTTAGTGCTATAAACCAACCGAACATGAACAAACGAACGTATATATGTGATTTGTTCATTTATTTTTAAAAATATTAATGTTCGATTTATATTCATTAAAAAAATTATTTTATTTATTCTTATTCGATTATTTAAATAATAAATTATTTATGTTCATTTTATGTTCGTTCAATTAAATTAAACGAATTCATTTATAAATATTAAACGAACATGTATAAACGAACATATTCATAAATAATAAATAAGTCATAATTAAACAAATTTAAATAAATCTTAAATAAATATAAACGTTGAACAAGTATAAACAAATCTAAAAATAAGAACCAACTACCCCAACTCAGCATTTCTTCCATTTTCCCACCTGTAAATACAACAGACACTATAACCATAACCTCCTTCCTTTTGCAGTTTACACTTACAAATATCCAACTCCAACTCATTTTCCCTCAGCCTTCTTCACCGTTTCCTTTCCCTCTGCTCTCTCTCCATTAAGAGAGAGAGAGAGCGAGCCTGAAATGGTGAAGAATTACGTGTTGGAGATAACCTTAATATCTGCGCAAGGACACAAGGAACCATCCTCTAAACTCCGCCGCATGCAAACCTACGCCTTCGCTTGGATCGATCCTTCTGTCAAGCTTCGTACTTGCGTTGACCGTGTCGGCGGAGGAAACCCAACCTGGAACGATAAATTTCTCTTCAAGATTTCATCGGAGTTTCTTTCTAGCCAAACGTGTGGGGTCTCAGTTGAAATTTTCGCCGTCGGTGTCCTCGGTGATACCCTCCTTGGCAGCGTCAGGTTCCTTTTGAGTAACTTTCTTCCGCCTGGTTCTGCCTTCAAAGCTGTGAAGACTCCGTCTTTCGATGCAGTTCAAGTCCGCCGACGCTCTGGTAGGTTCCATCGGGTTCTCAACATTGGCGCTACAGTTCTAGGCGGTGCCAATGTCCCGGCCATGAACAGTTCCCGCCATCAGTTTCCGTGATCTTATCCGAGAGAGTCTCCATTCAAGGACACACCGGAGCATTAACAAGTCAAAGTCTACATCCATGGACGTTTGTGATTGGACGAACTCGTTATCATCAACGGCGTCAACTGCTTTGAGCGTGTGGAATAAGATGATTAGGGAATTGGAGGGAACAAAGCATGCAAGGTCATCATCAGACGGCGGAGGATTTGTGTGCGGATTGGTGTCGTCGCCCAGGAAGGCTGCATGGGTCAACGCCCCCGTGTTCAGTCAAAGCTTTAATGAAAAGATTCATGTGAAAAGATTAAGGAAGAAAAGATTCAATCCATTTACGTTTGATTAATGATGTTTCAAAAGTGTTATGATTCGTCGGTATGTTTTACTATGTTTTTTTGCATACTGATTCATGGTAATGAGTTTCTCTTTCTTTGTTTCTTATGTTCTGTTGTTTGTACACTGAAAGAATATTAAATTGTAAGCCATTTAGTTGTTTATGATTTTTCTAAGAGTTCATTGAATTGCATTCGGAAAAATTCTTAGCAAAAGACTATAAATTAGCATTCTAATAATTAAAAGATAATTAACACTTTTATTTTTATATTTATTTGACTGAAAAAGATATTACATATGTAAATTACTTTGAACCCGTGATCTCTAAGCTGACCTCATAGAGTTTGCTTGATGTGCTGATGGCTGCTGATAGATTTGAGGTTGCCTCTTGCATGAGATATTGCAATCGGCTATTGCGCGATTTGCCTTTGACACCAGAATCAGCTCTGCTTTCTTTGGATCTTCCTTCGAGTGTATTAATGGGTGAGGCCGTCCAACCTTTGACCGATGCTGCAATGCAGTATCTATCTGCCCGTTACAAGGACATGACCAAGTAAGCTCCTGTTCTGCAAGCATCATGTTCTTTTTTGACACGACGTCGATAGTTTTATTAGCCTGGCAATGTGGTTGCATAACTTGATGAAATTATGCAGATTTAGAGGCTTATTATATATATGTGCTTTTGGAGCACATTTTTCCAGGTTCCTAGAAGAGGTAATGGCTTTTCCACTAGCTGGGGTTGAGGCAATATTGTCCAGTGATGATCTCCAGATTGCATCTGAAGATGCTGTGGCCACGGCTCAGTACCCAAAACCGGAAGACCGAAGAGAAGTGCTTGGTTCACGCCATGCACAATTTATTCGCTAACCTTGTGTAACCTACCGGAAGCATAAGAAGGTGTTAAACATGCAATGATCTTGGTTATGATGTTGCATCAAAGCTTGGGCTTGAGGCCCTCTTTTTCACGGCTGAAGCCCCACATAGACAAAGAAGCTTGACTGCATTAGAGTCTGCTGCCATGAACCGTCGCTTTTGTTGAGTGAGCTTACAATTATTGACCTGTTAAGGTGGTGGAATTTGAACTTCCCCGTCAGCCCATTGCAACATGGACAAGCAAAGCTCTTACCATTGCTTCGGATTGTTTTTATGCAAACTAATAAAAAATACCACTCGTGTTAAAAAATTAGCGATAATTACATAAAAATTTAATAAAATTAAAAAAATTATTTTATTATTTTATATTGATATAAATTATAACATATAATTTTTATATAAAATATGATATAAATATATAAATTTCAGTATTTTATATTATATAAATATATGAATTACTATATCTATTTTTAAGAATCCAGAAAAAAATTTCCGTTGGATTTGCCGTCGACTACAAATTTGCGGCAAGGTCAAAGCCGACAGAGGAGTTTATTAACAAATACAAAGGCAAAAACACATTCACTGGTGGCAAGGCAGTTGGCTACAGGAATTTATTTGCCATTGCCATACCTTGGACTGCTTTCATGGCTGATGACAGACTTTACTTCATAAATGGTATCCTCCATCTTAGGGCTGAGTTAACTATCAGGCACTAACAAACTCCTGTTGATGTAGTTTCTGCCCATTTACTTTAGTTCCATTAACCCCTTGTTTTTGGTTGTTGTTCTTTCACTTGACCTGACCAAAGCTTAAGATGTACTAAGTACAACAATGGGTTAGATACTTTTTGTTATCATTTACAAAACGTGATATTTAATAGATTTAACGTTTTAATTATAAATTATTATTTTTAATTATTTTTAATTATAAAGTTGCGACTTTCTTTATACTAAAGTCTCGTTTTGTATTATATTTAAATTTTAAAACTTAATTTTTAATTTTAATCATATTATAATTTTGAATTAAAAATACTTTTTAACTGTTAAAAGTGAGTCAATTTCAAAAGTTAATTGGGAGCATAGTTGCAATTTGATATTTATGAGTTGAAAACAAAATATCAAATACTAATCAATTATTTATTTTTGATAAAAATAAATTTTTTTCAACATCATATCTTATTTAGATATTCACAGTAATTCCAAACATTCATAAATCTAAAATCATAAATTTTTTCAGCAAATTTTTTATAGCACTTTTCAAGTGTACTTTTTTTTTTTTAAATAGAGATTTTTTAGCTACAATAGTAATATTAAACTATACCTAAAAAAATTCTTTGAAACAGAAAACATAACATTAATTGTTCGGTAAAAATAAAATTTATCTAATTTATTTAAAGGATTTTAATTTCATTAATTTTTACTAAAAAATTTATTCAAAAATTTTCTTTTAATATATTTTGAATTGTAATTATACTAAATATCTACAATGATAAAATTATTTGGGATGATAAGGTTCGAATTAAATTAAATTTGGTTTAATTTTTTCGATAATATATATTATTATAAATTTTTAAAATTCGATCTAAATTTAGACTGCATTCTTTTGAAATCGAATTGATCTAAATCAAATTTTAATAATTTAGTTTGGTTTAGTTTCTTGATTTTTAATTTTTAAATTATTATATATTATTTTAATAAAAATTTTAATATATTTAAATAGATTATATATAAAATAATTATTTTTATTTTATAAAAATTAATAAAAATATATAATTCAATTCAATTTTTCTATTTTTTACATTTAATTCAAATTTATTATATATATTTAATATTTAAATTTAATTCGAACTAAATAAAAAAAAATCAATTCAATCCTAATTGAATATTAGGATTTTGAATAAGTGTTTAATTTTTTTTCCTCGCCTCTAATAATTATTATTTAAAAATAAATAAAAAGTATTTCGGTACAAATCACACAAGTCACGTGATATTTTACTATAAATAAAAAGAAAAAAAAGAAAAGGGCAAAGCCAAAGGGAGTCAAAGATGCCGAAGAACAAAGGAAAAGGAGGAAAGAATCGAAAGAGGGGAAAGAACGAAGCCGATGACGAGAAACGAGAGTTGATCTTCAAAGAAGACGGCCAAGAATACGCTCAAGTCAGCCGCATGTTGGGCAACGGCCGATGCGAAGCCATGTGCATCGACGGGACCAAGCGGCTCTGCCACATCCGCGGCAAGATGCACAAGAAGGTCTGGATCGCCGCCGGTGACATCATCCTCGTTGGACTCAGGGATTATCAAGATGATAAGGCTGACGTCATATTGAAATACATGCCCGATGAAGCTAGGCTTTTGAAGGCTTATGGAGAGCTCCCTGAAAATACGAGGTTGAATGAAGGGATTGCCGGTGGGATTGATGAGGAAGATGATGGCGGCGGCGATGATTATATTGAATTTGAGGACGAGGACATTGATAAGATCTAAAGTTTCTTTCTTTTTCTGGTATTCGATACTTGGGAATTTTAAGCTTTATTAAATAGTATTGTTTTTCTCTTAAAACTTGACATGGGTTTTCAGGTTTGATCTTGATTCTGATATTCAAATTCTCAAAGATTATTGATGAAATCTTTGAGAATTTGTTAATATTGATGATGTTTGTGATTCTGGGTTTTTTATTTTTTATGTTTCTTAAATTGGGGATTTGAATTTGATTGTTGAATGGCTTTGATTGGGGGGGGGGGGGGGGTTGTATTTTGCATGGTTTCAGTGTTTTTATGATTCTTGACTCTTCATGATAGTATTAAGCAGAGTCTCCAGGAATTCCTGGTTGTTTCCAGCTTCATGCTTAAGTATTCTTTGCTGCTTAAGGTGTAGCCGAATAGAGCTTTCAACGAATTGTTCGCGTACATGTTCGGTTTTTATTTGTTTATTAAGCTTAATAAATGATATTGAATAATATATTTATGCTCGTTATTAAACGAATTGAATAGGTATGTTTGGATAATTTATGTTAATGAATATACTTATTTAAAGCTGGTTTATTTTTAGTTTATTATTCGTTTATAATAATATTAATAAAATTAAATTTTTATCTTTTATCTTAATTTTATTTTAAAATTTATTTATATTTGTTTGAATTCATTTATATTTGTTTAAGATTTATTTGTTTAAATTTATTTGGTTATAATTTATTTATTATTTATGAATATTTTCGTTTATATAGGTACGTTTAAAATTTATGAACGAGTTCATTTAACTTAATTGAATTGAACATTAACCGAACCCGAATAACTTACTATTTAAACCAACCGAATACAAACAAATAAAACAATTTTCTTAATGAACACGAATTGAACATGAACATTTTTAAATTTAAACGAACAAATCACATATATATATATATATTCGTTTGTTCATATTAGGTTTATTTATGTTGATTTCATTTTGGGTTAATGTATAGAATGATCCATAATTTATAATAAAATATTTAATGTGTTATTTAAATTTTAAAAATTTTTAATATAATATTTGAATTATGAATTAATAACTAATGTGATATTTAAAAAATTATTTGCTCGTCACATGTTATCTTTTACGGTTAATTATATTAAAGGTGAATATCATTTTAGTTAATAGATTCATAATTTAAGTATTATATTAAAGATTTTTAAAATTAAAATATTACTAAATATTTTATTATAATTTAGAGATTATTCATAATATTAACCTTTTTATCTATTTATTTGTTAGACAGAAGTTAGATCTGTCAAACTTTGCATTCTTGTTACTTGTTAAATACATATAAAATATAAAAATTATCTTGTGACAATTTGTATTCATATGTCGATGCGAAATTGATTTTTTTTTTATCAAATTTATACTTTTATCAAAATTTTAAATCATTTTATTTTCTTATTTTTTTTCATGTTGTTTGATTGTGTCCTGTCCAAAATAATCAAGATTAATGGAAGTTGCAAAATCCATGCCCAGCTTCAACAACAGAGCCCTTTTCATGTTTTACTTTGTTATTCCATTGCCCTTTCCAAGACATGTAAGGTAAATATCTGTCCTATACGAAATAAATTATTTAATACACCGTCAAATTCAATGTATATTTGAATGGAAGAAAAGGGTTGCTTTCTCCACATCATGGCTTATATATATATAAAGCATTATTCAATGAACAGAGCAACCAAGAATTCATACAAGGCAATCATCCAATTACAGGAAACGGATGTCTCTTTCACAGTGTACAAAGGGACCAAAACGAAAATGCTCACAAATTACTAAGCATGCCAATCTTGTGAGTCTACTCGATTCCGGCAATCTTCTTCTTCAGTGCCTCAATATCCGTTGCTAGTTCTTTCCTGCTTGACTGAGGACATAAGCATGTTGTCACATGGTTTTCAGTGTCTATAACTCTATATATATCATTATTCTTACTCTAAATACTTTGAAAACCGATAAGGTTTTAATAACATCTCAAACATAAGCCAATTTTAAGACTTTAAAACGTGAATTTGTAACTCGTAATTTGGAAATAAGAGAAATAATTACAAATGTTAAATTTTAAATTATCAAACATGTTAGATGTTATTTTTTTAAAATGATTATATAAATTAATTAAATTAAATTTCGAATTCATTTTGTTAGTTTTTTTTTTAGAGTGGAAATTAAACGTTTTGAAATTGTTTGAATGAGGAGTAATGTAGAATGTTTTGCCCAATAAAAATTATGTCATTTTTTAAAATGATTGCATGAACGTAATTTAGAAAATCTTACCTTGAAGAGAAGGTATCTGTAGACAAACCATCCTGTATATCCAAGTCCTACCAACTCCATTATCTTTGGAAGCTGGTAAGCAAAGTACAATCAAAAGGGGAGACAGGTTTTAGCAATTTTACTGCTGATTATTAATCAAGAAAATCTAATCTAGACTTGATAATTTTAGACATTGAGATAATAACACAACACAAAAACAATTAAAAGAAATATGAAAGTAATACAATTTAAAATTTTGACAAAAACTATATATGGATTCAGTAAAAACGAAAAAATATATATTACGTGTTTGACACAAAACAGATACGAAACGAATATATGAATTTGTAGATTAATTTACCGGTGTTACTTACCAAAGGGACCGAGTTAATGGCACTAACAAGAATGGATGATACCCAAACTGCAACAATTGCACCGCCACCATAAAGAAGAACTGTGGACTTGTTCTCAACTTTATCCCACTAGTAAACATGGGAAGGAAGCCATGTCAGTCCAGGCCAAGCAGCTTAAAGAGCAAGAAATTGATTATTTAGAAGATATAATGACTGGAATTGTTAATAGTACTGTATTAAGGCCAATGTATCCACCTTTTCCTTCAAGTCAGTGACAAGATCCCCAGCTTCAATAGAGGGTTCATCTGAGGCTTTTGTTTGGAACAGAGAAAACCTCCTGGATTCTGTTTTTAACATGAAGTGGACATGGATTAAATTGAACAATAAGGTATAGATCCAATCCTAGAAACTTTTAAGAAATGCACATAATCTCAGCAAATGAATAGTTTGAGGGTCTCTCACTGATGAATTAAGATTTTTTTTTGGGAGTGTTCATTAAAACTGTTAACAGATTTACCAACTTTATCGACAAAAAAGTTGTCGAGAAAATTTTGAGGTATCCATAGAAAATTTTCCTTTCAAAATTTTTGCTTTTTTTCAATCTTCAGGGGTGTCCGTGGACATCCTACTTCAAACCATAGATTTGCTTCTAGGCTCCCATTTACAGCCTAGTGTGAGGGATTCCAACTATAATGTAATATGGTTTTATGACTAGACCCCAAGTAATAGATTGAGGCTCTCTTTGGTAGCATAATGAGAGGGATTCTCACCATATTATGATATCATTTTACATTAAATTCTAAATAATAGACTAAGAGTTAGTTTAACATTATTATTACAATTAAAAAAAGTTTTAGTCGAAAAAGTATGTTTAAAAAATGTGATAAAAATTGTGATTAAAATTTTAAGTAATTAATATTATTGTGAAAAAATGCTGTAAGTAATTAAAATGTTTAAAACATTATTACATGATGCATTAGGAAGATCAGAGTTATCAATTACAAATTAGAAGGGCTGCCAGCACCATGAACATAATACAAAAATAGAACACAAAAATAATACAACTTAAAATTTTAACAATAATTATATATAAATTTAACAAAATTTTTAAAAAATTTATTTCATTGTTTTATGTTTATAAAATTTATGACACGTAATTTTCGAATTAAACACATTACGAATATAATAATTTTAATATTAACAGAATCCTAATACATAAATTTCAGTATTTTCTTATGGAACTACTGTAACACTTTCACCAGCACAACATTTCTGGTCCTACATCACCCACCACCGCCACCACCATAGATTTCATTTCAATAAGCTCGAATTCACACCCAATAAAAAAAAGAAAGAAATTTCAGCCTCAAACATGGTGATAGAACAACAGAAGATAAAGTTGACATGCATGTAGATCTTGCAAGTGAAGCAGTACCTGGAATTAGCTTGACGGAAGAGGAAAAGGAAGAGGTGGAGACGCGAGGAGGGAGGGGCGGCAAGGCAAAGCAACGGGTGGTTCTAATGACTACGGGGACACGTGAAATCAAAATGGCGGTGGCTGCCACTGCCATGAAGGATGATGATGATACTGCTGTCGCCATTTCAAAGTTTCGCTGTTTCGGATATGTGGCTGCTCGAACGCTACAAATCCTATCCTTCGTTGCTTGGCTTTGCAGCCTCTTTCACAGTGTTTTGATCTTGTATGAAGTTGCTATGATTGGTGAGGTTTTGACGCTCAGCTTGGAACGGTCTTTCGGGTGATCGACACGTGGATAAGATAGGATTCTGATTGGTTCATTCCCTATCTGCAATCCACGTTTTGAGGGGTCTCTCTCTTCGCATATTGTTTTTTTTTTTTTTTTTGACAGAAAGAGATCAAACTTTGAACCTACCCTAAGAGTAAAAAAATATTTTATGTGAAGCTCTTTTTATGTTTTATTAGGGGCATTTTAATATTTAAAGAGCAAAATAGTTTCCGGAGAGTAAGTCAACTTGTAGGTAAGGGCATTTTGATCATTTCATTCTAATTAATCTGTCGAGCCGATCGAAAATTTTGATATTCACGTCAGTTCAGCCACTGCAGCAAAGAGCGTTGGATTATTATTTCTTGAGTGAAAAATCTACTGTTACCTCAGTTCGGTCCTACAAGGTCAACCTTAATCTTTTTATGCTAATCTTGGGCTATCTAAGCCTATAAGGTCTTTTGCTACACAGGTATAAATAGCTCCATTAATTTAGATGTTTTTAAATTAACTAGAACTCTTAACTTTAAAGCCTTTAATTCACCTTTTTTTTTTTTCGAACGAATTCTGATTTGAGTATCGAAATATAAATAACGAGATAATTTTTTATCTTTATTGTCGATTGATTTTTTTTTTTGTGTTTTCAAGATTTTATCTCTTAATGGATAGTTCGACATCAACAAGTTTTTTAATATAAATATTTAATTAAAATTTTAATAAAAAATTAAATTGATAGATTAATAAAATTTGATAAAAACATAATAATATGTAAAAAAAATTATTAAAAATTTCATTTATAATTCATTTTCAATTAGCACTTATTCAATAGTAAAAATTATGTTAAAATTTTTATTAAAAAAATATATTTAAAAAATATAACAAATTTATTAAAAATATTTTATTATTTTAAAAAATTAAAACTGAATTAAGTTTTGAATTCCATTATTTTCTTTTATTAGTGTAAATAAATTGCATGTCTAAAGTTTAGTTTAATATAATTTGAGTGATTTCTTTTTTGGTGTTTGAGATTGTTAAAATTTAAATATTGATCATTGAAACTATGATTTCAATACTCTATCAACAAATCACAAGATTATTTGCATAATTTGATAGATTTTATTGATAATTGCCTTCATTTCACTTAGAAAGCTAACTAATTAGAATATTTTTTAAAATTTTTACATTAAAAATTTTTATATATTTACCAAAAGCAATATAATCTCATAATTAATTAGAATTTAGTTCTGAAATATATAAATAAATTTCGAATGCAATGATGTGTATCCCATTTCTTTTAGCTATGATTGAAAATGAACTTTGAAATTTTTAATTTTAAAATTGAATTCAGTAGAAGTATAAATGATATACAAGTGTTGTAAACTATTTAGATTTAATTCCGATAAAATTTGAATTTAATTAAATTATTATCGAATTGAGCTTAAATTTGAACAATTTGATTTATGAATCAAGTCGAGTTCAAGCATCATAATGCCTAACTAAAATATCTTACAAGCTTAATTGAATTTTTATATTTTTATATGTATTTTTATTATTTTAATTAAAATTTATTATTTTACCTATATATATTAATTCGAGTTCGAATTTGAATATAAATAATTGAGTTTGAACTGAATATAATAATCGAATTTATTTTTTATTTGATAAATAAATATAATCAAATGAATTCGAATAATTTAATTTTATCTCGTATTAAATTTAAATTTAAAAATTAAAATTTAATTGAACTCAAGTCAAATTTTTAATAACAATTCCCCAAAAATTTTAATCTATCATTTTCAAAGTTGACCCAAATATGCCAGTTTGGCAGTGGCACTCTTTCAATTCCATTTGTATTATTTGCTATTATCCCACAAAATTAATCTTCATCCATCCATATGTCAGGCAAAATAGTAGCCGTCCACCATAACAAACTTCTTTCCCCCTTTATTTTATTTTATTTTTTAAAGAAACATACTACTTTCTCTTCAAACCCGAAGACTTAGTTGCATAATTAAAAACATATATATATATATATATATTTTTATATTTCAACCCATTTTTATTTTTATTTTTAAAAAATTTATTTTTATTTTCAATTACTAATATGTTTTCACTCGTGTTTTTCATTTTCTAAAAAATAAAAATAAAAAATGACTCTATTTTCTAAAACCCAACACTACCTAAATTTTGGCTAATTTCGTTTCTTGTTGAATACAAACACCAATTATAGCCTTCAAATGATTTTTTTTTTATAATGTTATATCAAATAAGTTAAAATATTAAAAAAAGGTTCTTGAATTTTATCATTTTATTTAAATAATTTTTTTATATTTTTATTGTATTCAAATAAATTTTTATTTTATAATTTGTGTCCAAATAAGTCTTTATTTCAAACAAAAAGTCTATTTATGTTAAGAGTTTATTTAAATATAAATTAAAAACTAAAGGTTTATTTGGGTGTAAATTAAAATTTAAAAGTTTATTTGATTGTAAAATAAAAATTAAGTGTTTATTTGAATGTAATAAAAATATAAAAGTTTAAATAAAATGATAAAGTATAATTTTTTTTTTATTATTTTAACCTATCAAATGTTATAGCATCTTGTAACAAAATCGACATGTAGATGACATTCTTAGACCATTTAATAAAATTTAAATTTCAAGTGAAAGAAAATCATCTCTTATCTTGGTTTTTAAATGATTGATTTACTAATTAACATAAATTGATTTCATGTATCATATAAAATATTTCGTCATAATTTAAAGATCAAACCGTAAAAAAAAAAAAAATTACCAACAAAAATTAAGCTTCAAAGTCCACTTGGCTAAAAATAACCAAACCTAAATTTGGAGTGTGTACAGATCTCTATCCTCTCCCGTGGAACTTGTCTCCCCTTCAATGGCCTCGTTGGCACCGCTGGCTCAACCAATTCTCTCTCAAATAACACCAATTGAAACGAATTAAAATTCATTTATTCTCTTTTGGTTTTTGTTTCATGAGAATAGAAATAGAAATAGAAATAGTAATAGTATTTGATGAATTTGAAACTTGTCTTTTTTGTGCGTCAGTTTCCATTCCCATTACTGCTTTTCCTTTTTTTTTTTTTTTTCATAAAAGGCAAATCACATATATTACGGAAAATTTATACTGGATTTACAGATTTTTTACAAAAAAAGGATTGCTGACAGCGAGATTCGAACTTAAATCTTAAAAGCAAAGTATTCGAACGTTACCAATTCAACTAACGAAGGGCTGCTGCTTTTCATTATTCCTTTGCTCCTTTCCACTCTCAACCTCATTCTTGCCCTGCTAATTTCCAGGGCCACACCTGGAATTTGCATTGCATTGTTTTGATGCAAAAGCTTGATCAAAGAAGGAAACCTGTTTCGGGTCATGACATGGGGTAATCTTGATGGGGTCTGATACAAGTTGGCTCACCATCTTCATGGTTTTTTCTTCGTTATTGTCGACAATTTCTGGTGCCTCGGACAGCCATGATCCAGATGCTTTAGACGCTTTGTTTCATTCTTTCGCAAATCAAACATTGGCGAAGCACCATACAGGCACTTTGAACAAAGTTCCCCTTCCTTCAAATTTCTCTTCCATTGAAGTTTCCGCCGTCAGGCTGCGCAGTGGCAGTTTGTGGCGGAGAGGAGCCAATTTGAGCTTTGTTCAGATCCCACCCAGAGTTAGAACACTTCCGTACGTGAAAAGATTAGCTATAGTTTATGATAACATGGGAAATTTGTCTTCGAAATTCTATCAGGTTCCTGGTTTTTCATTGGTCTCTCCTGTAATCGGCTTCAACGTTTATGATTATTCAAATTTAACTACATTAAGCGATGAAAGGATCACACTGAGCATCGTGAGTGAACCCATTTCAATCCATTTTCCATATGTTGATGCAGAAGACAAAAATGTGACAGAACTCAAATGTGTCAGATTTGGAGCAGGTGGGTCGGTTGAGTTTGAGAACATGACAGAGAGGAATGTTTGTGTCACGGGAAAATCAGGACATTTTTCTGTTGTGACATCGTCGATGGCGGAGGAGAAACGAAGGATTTGGAAATGGTGGGTGATGGGATTTGTGGCTGGAATCATTGGCCTGGTCTTGTTGATTGTGGCAGGAGTAATCATTTGTGGAATGAGGAGAAGGATGAAGATCAAAACTATGGAGAAAGAATCTGATAAAGCTGTTGCTTTGGATACATTTTGGGTTGGGGGAGATAAAATGCCTTCTGCATCAATGACCAGAACACAGCCAGTCCTTGAGCATGATTATGTTCCTTAACCCACATTCTTTTTCATTTTCTTATTTTTTTTCAACTTTGATTTTCTGCTTCTTTATAAATTGAAGTACTTTTGTTTTTATGTTCATCTATTCAGTTTGCAGTTTGTGATCCAAATTTCTTCTCATCAATTTTGAAATTACCTGTGGCTAAGATTGTAAACGAATCGAACATTAATAAATATGTATTTAGGATTTGCTCATTTATTTTTATAAGTGTTTGAGCTTGTGTTCGATAAAAAAATAATTTTGTTTATTTGAGTTTGATTTATTTAAATGATAGAATATTCGCATTTGATTTATATTCGGTTCGATTTAATTAATTGAATTCGTTTAAAAATATAAAATAAATATGTTCATGAATAATAAATAAATTATAATCTAACAAATTTAAACAAACAAACTTTAAACAAACCAAAACCAACATAAACGAACCTTAAACGAGATTATTAGTGAATATAAACGAACGAAACAAATCTCTCTATTCATATTCAATTCATTTTAACAAGCGAATATAAAAATATTATTTAAGATCATTTGTTAAGATTAATAAACAAATATAAATGAATAAAAATTAAACATATTCAAAAATAATTCATCCAAAACTTTATTTATTTACACCTTTATTGGTAACTCATTGAAGAGAAAGTACATTAATATATTTCGATTGAATCTTTCCTTATTGTTTATGAGAATTCATGGAAGAATAGTATTGGGAAAACTAAAATCGAAACTTATATAAATTAATTCATATAATCATCTTTAAAAATTGATATCCAATAAATTTAAAGTTCAAACTCTAGCACCTACAATACAAAATCTTCTTTTATCTATAAATTACAACCTCTTTTAAAAAAAAAAAAAATCCGTAATGCTTTCTCTGTTTCTTCATCTCTGCTTTAGGATTAGCGAGCTGCAAACGATACATCACCAGCCAGTCCCACAGCCAGGCTTTGGTAGGACGGCAAGTTAGGCTTTTTGGCCTGTTAACTTTCATCTATCATTCTAGTTAGTCTGATGTTTTGGCACTTGTCTGTAGTATATATTAAGAGTAATCGGTTGGGGAAAAGACAAGCATTTTAAATGTTGGGATTGTTTTTGGCAGCATATGTGTCATCAGCCATCTTTATATAAGGCCACAATTAGGTAGACGTGTCAAAACATTAAATCTCATATTTTAAACAAAAATATTTTCATTTCGAACATTGTAACGGTTATTAATAGTAAGAAACTTTAAATCTTTAAAGAGGATGTTCAGTTGTCAGACTGTTAAGCTGTCCATTAGTTAAAATACGTTTTAGACAATTCATTTGAGGTTATCCTTCTTGTTCTTGTCTTGATGATGGTGAAAAAATTCAATGCTTTATAATCTTTCGTAATCTTATATAATTAATAAAATATTTTTCTTTCGAAAGCGCAAGAGTCAAGTTGGTGTACTCGCAGCGCACCTGATATCCGTCGCATATATAAACAAGGATTTTTAAAGCTGCAACTACAACAACTAGACATATGACTAAAGAACATTACCAGTGCCTGGTCACTAATTTGTTAGCTCCTGTTTTGCACCTAGAAAACATAGACAACATTTATCACCAATTCTTACAGCAAACCAACGTCTAGTTCAAATAGATGATCAAATTCATATAGAAAATGTGAATCTACGTTTTATTAGTGACAAATTAAATATAAACATAAATAAGAACGAATAAGAGCCACAAATTAAATTTTAAGTTATTCGTGAGAAATTCAAACTTGACTTAAAAAAAAGACTTGAAATCAATTTTTTTATTGTCAAGTTACTTGAGCTATTAAATAATAAGTCAAACTGAATTTAAATAATTTAATGTGAAAGATCCGTGAGTTTAATTAATTTTTTTTATAAAATATATAAATAAATAACAAAAAATATAATATTTTATGTCAATATTTATAATTTTACAAAGTTTTATTGAGCTAAGCTCGATCGGCTCAATTAAAATTATAAACAGCACTCAAATATGAAAAATAAATTTTGATCGAATTTAAATCAAATTTTCAATATTAAATCTTTAAGTGGAGTGTATCGACTCGATTCGGGTGGATTATACCCTATGTTTTAATGTTTCTATGGATGCAATGAAATTAAAAGCATACCTCTCTAGGGCGATACACTGCTGCAAAGACTTTGGTGTTGCCCATCTCAAAAACAGCAGAACTGAATATTAAAATTAAAACAAAAAAGCCAAGAATTTCAGATACATCTCATATCATGTAAGCAGACATAATGTTTCTAGTACCCAAAACGGCACCGCATACCCATCGGCTTTGGCCACCGTGCCAATCTCAGCACGAAGTTGTCTCATCTGAGATGGAGAAAATCAAAGGAGTTTCAGAAAGAGAACAAAATTGGCTAAAACGAAGAAGTGGGTAGAAGAAAAAAAAGTCAATAAGAAGGCAATAAAATAGAGGAGAAATGAAGAAAGGTAAGGCACATACGTCCATGGGACGGCGACCGTCGAGGCGGAGTCCTTCGGGGCTCACGAATTCCATGTTTTGCCGAGTGCGTTTGCACCGGACAAAACACCCAACTGGTTATGATTTAAGGCAAGAAGTGAACTAACCACGTTCATGTCCTGCTTGATAAACCTCTCCAGGGTTTTTCCTCGATCGAGGAGAAGCTGACGTTTGTAATTGACCTGTAATCGAATTGAACTTAATCGATTTGAGGTGATATAATAAAAAATTCGAAGTAAGCTCAAAATTCATTGTTTCAAACTTAGCTTGAATTTGATGAAATTTAGTTTTCAAGTTTAAATTAGATTTGATATAAATATTAAGTTATTGAAGCTCGTTCAATTAGATTTATTTATTGAACAAAAAAATTTTAAATTTAATTTTAAATTTAAGTTTAAATTAATTTATATAAAAATAAAATAATAATTTTTTATTTAAAATCATAAAAAAATTTAAATATAAAAATTAAATTAAATTCATGAAATACTCAAATAACATATTAAAATATTCAAACTTTATTCACTTGATAAATCAAATTACTTGATTTCAAATTTCACTCAATAACGATTAAATTAAATTCGAATCCGACACCAATATAATATTTTCATCTCTACAATATAATATATACATTTATATTTTCATCTCTATAATATAATATTCATCTCAATCTTAATAAAAAATCAAAATTTTTATTAAATATAAGTAAGGTTCTCATCCACAGCAGTTAGAACAAATGGTTATAAACAAAAGATTGTAAACAGAAAAAATATCAACCACTTATGGTGGTTTCATTGTAACATAGTTATTGGTAGCTGCAATACGAAAACAGTACAAGCCAGAGACTCACTCAAGATATAGATATAAGATATTGTTGCTTTGAGTACGGATATAACAGATTAAAATTAAGTTGATATAATGAGATATTTGAATTCGAACTAGATTTGAAATTTATTGTTTGAAATTCGATTCAAGTTTAATTAAATTTTAATTTTTCAAACTTGTATTCAACTCAAGAATAAAAAAAAATGAACTATTCAAGTATGTTTGATTAAATTCATTTATCGAATTAAAAATAAATTCAATTTTTATACTCGATTTTAAACTCGATTATTTATGTTCAAATTTAAACTTCAATATATGTATATAAAGGTAAAATAATAAAATTTTAATTAAAATAAAAAATTATTAAAATATAAAAATTCAATTAGATTCGTAAATTATTCGATTTAGACATTAAAATGCTTAAACTTAACTTGCTCGAGCTCAATTCAAAAATAATCAAGTTAAATTTAAATTTTATTTGAACAAAATTAAAAAATTTACGAATATAAGTGTATCATTTAAATAGTATTTGTTTTCATGAATCCATTGCAATAATTCATAATTCAATTAAAGGACAATTTTTTTTTTCATTTTATTCCATACTAATTGTCAATTTTTTGTCATACAAGACATGGTCTACCCCATGAAACAAAAAGAATTCATCTTCATTTGGATGAATGCCAAGAAAAGTTCCAAGAATGTCAAGAAAAAAAAATTAAATTACCCAACATTCTAGAATTGCTAAACAAAATTATTTGAAACAAAGATAAAGACATCCACCATCGGCATGTAATAGAATGATGCTATTGGATAACCAAAAATGAATATGGAGAAGAAAAGAAATAGATCAAAAAAAAAAAAAAGAGTTGAGACCTGTTACACCCAAATTACCTAGTCAACGATTAACCAAATCAAGGCTTGGTCAACATAGTCATGCCCTTGGGTTGCCCAGATAAAGCATGCCTAGAATGCCATATCATCTACTCCTAAGAAAACAGCTTCTCGTTTGCCATGGGAAGGATTCACATAACACCTCATTGATATCCAATGAAAGCAATCACTTCAAAACTAACAACTTAGTATATAACTTGTTTAAAATCATTAAAAGCAATAAACATTTGTTTGAAATCATTAAATACAACTCATATCTACTTATGTGAATCTTTTTCGAACTTCACATATTCATCTCATCATCTGTCAGCTGTCAATTACCTTGATCTTATCACTGACCATCATCCCATACATAAGGCGGTGAGAAAACCTAGGTATGTAAGGCATTCTTATACTTCACACCTAAGCTGACCTTCTCTGAAGCTGGACACACACACTTTACCATCTCTCTCCTTCCTTCCCTCTTTCATTCCAAATATCCTATTAACTTAAGCGTCAAAGCCTATCTTGAAGCAATAACTCCAACTCCCCCTAACAATCTTATTTGACTGCAGGTTTTAGCTATCTTCCTTTTGACCTCACCTCATCCCCTTCCAACTAAAACACCATTAACAAGATGAGAGAGAAAACAGAGAATTGGGAGCAAGAAATTGTAATATTTTTCATTCATAATTTTCAAGTTACATCATTTGTTTATTTATATATGCTGTTAGAGCTGTAATTGAATCAAGCCGAATAGATATAATGAGAAACTCGAGTTTGAATTCAATTTAAAATTTGCTACTCGAAACTTGATTTAAACTTAACTCGAGATAAAAATTAAACTACTCGAACTTATTCAATTAGATTCATTTATCGAATAAAAAAAATTCAATTCTCATACTCGACTTCAAATTTGATTATTTATGTTCGACACTTGAATTCGAATTCAAATTTATATATATAAAGTAAAATAGTAATTTTTAATTAAAAATAATATATATATTAAAATATAAAAACTTGATTAGCTCACGAATTACTCAAATTTGATATTAAGATGCTCGAACTTGCTTGCTCGATAAATTAAATTATTCAAACTCGAATCGAATTCGAATTTTATCAAGTCAAACCTGAAATAATTTGCAAACATTAATATATCATTTATAATTTCACTCTTATATATATATAATTCAGCTGGCAAAATACACTAAATATTGCTAAAATATAGGACAACTGCCATTACAAAATTCATATGGACCAATAACGAACAGCCTAGTCAGCATAGATGGTTCCACCATCAACCTTTTTTACATTTTCATAATCAATTCCCATTCCAACAACTGTCTTCACTCTCGGCTCAGCTTCCTTCATTTTTCTAGTTCAAAAGAGCGACGAGTACATATAAAAAGACGGGGAGGAAGCATCCACCGTTTGACTATCCTGTTAAAAGTCGAGTGTCATGTCAAACGCTCTAAGAGAGTAAATAAGATATTTCAATTTCACATTATTTAGAAGAAAAAAGATCACAGCAGATATAAGAGTTAGTATTGCACACTTCAATAAGTTGGTTTTGCAGAGAGAGAGAGAGAGAGAGAGAATAATAGGCACGGGATAATAGTATCAGAGCTAACTTTTAACTTATACGAGACCACACCAAACGCCCCAGCGAAGGTAGCAAGAATAAGGTATGATGGCAAAGTCTGATCACATCAAGTACTCTTGAAAAAAACAAATAAGATGATAGTCATACAAGACGTCATAAGATTGAATGAAAGAAAATGTCACATCAAACGTTCCAAAAGGTAGATAAGATGTTTCAATCAGAATAAGAAAAATAAAATCGCTGAGGCATGTAAGCATTGGTGCTACACACTCATTAAGCTGATTTTACAGTAAGAAGATAATGGCCAAAGTGACAAGAACGCTAAGCGGCTATTAGAAGAGAAACGTCGTCGTATTTTTGTTTTTCATTTTATGATTTGAACGCGACGTTTATATCCCAGATCGATATCTTGGTTGGGCCAGCTGGCAGATCTGATCGCAGCTCGGATTTTTTTTCTTTTCTCGAGTTGGGCCATTAGAATGCCCCTTCGGCCATTTCCTTGTGGCATATAATTCAATTTTGCTTTCTTTTCTTTTTTTTTTAATGAAAAAAAATATTGATTACTATTGTTTTTAATGTTGATTGCTCAAAATGATATATAATTTATTTATATATAAGACATTTTTACATTAAAAATGATATAATTTACATAATTTTTTTTTTAGTATTATGATGTTTTCATACTTTGTATAAAAGAAATCACAGCTTGGAGATTTAAAAAAAGTTAAAAAGATGAACACTAAACCTCACAATTTAAAATACGAGACGAAAATGATATTAAAAAAAAACATAAGTGACACGGTTAAAATTTTAATAAAAATCATATATGAGATCAATAAAAAAAAAATACATTTTATGTTTTTCATATTGACACAAATTGTAATTCGTAATTTTCGTATAAACTACGATATAAGTACATGAATTATCAATGTTTTTACACAACATAAATACATGAATTGGTAGGTCTAATGAACACACGCATGCTGAGTTATTGTCCCTAGAATAGTTGAAATTCCAACATGCCTTGACCTTAACTAACTGCATTATTCACTTCATATTAAAGATCAATCAAATCTACTTATTGAGCTAAAATGTCTACTACATCAAAGAACTGTAACGCAACTTTTATGCAGAGAAGGCTTTGAAATTGCTTTCTCAACTTTTATGCAGAGGCAGGCAACTGCGCTACTCACATTGTTCCTTCAACCTTATTAACACAAGCACATGAATGAGGAGCTGAAAGCCACAGCGTCACAAGGAAACATTGGAAACCATGCGAAGAAATTATCGACAGGCTCGAACAAGTTTCTAAACTCATTCTGAGAGACAAAAAGGTTAAAAGACCATTCCTAGTTTATCTTGCTCTCTATCCCCTTGCCTACAAAAATAGCACACATACCATAAACATCATGTTGAATTGCTCCTGATTCAGTCCGATATTCTCATCTCAACTCCTAAAATGTCCTTCACCATCTCATATGTCACAAATGCGATAGCTATTGATGGTACAACCTGCAAAAACGAAAGGGAATAAACAATATTAATTATTGACCATTAAAGGACATGTTTGTATGCTCAATTGTAAAAAATTGTCAATTATATTAAAGATCCATCAAAAAGAAAAGCAAGTTATCAAATAGGTTCTTTTCAATAATACATAACTTATAGTAAACTAATGCTGGCGTACATGCAGATGTAACCAGATTATAAGACTTCTATAAATAACCTGTTCTTGGGAAGACAAAGGTCATTTGCATCAGTTATGTGAAAAGCTTATTAGTGAGGCGAATTTTTAAGGGCATATGCAAGATAACAATTTGACACATTCAGCCAAAGTCGGATCAACACTTTTAGCTTTTAACTAGATCTCGATCTTACTAACATCCATGCATAAAGTCATAATGTTTGGCCGATGATAATGCAAAATGCACGAGAACCATTTTTCTTCAGACAGTTTAAGAAAACAAAAGAACAAAATCAAAATATTCCCCATGCAACCTGTTTCTAAGCAATCTCTTGTCTGAACTAAAATTTCTTTTCAGAGAGCAACAATCAAAAGGGAAAAACTATTCCTGCATTTATCAGCACGTGAACATCAGTGAATCAAAAGACATTCCACTGACCTTCACAGAATTAGGGACCAGACCCTTGTATAGTGCTCCAAAGCCCTCATGCCTAACAGTTTTCCTGAATGCATCAATCATGCCAGTATACTCAAGAGGAGCCTTGTTCCTCCCATCACCAGTGACAACTGAGGCAGCATCTTTCCATCCTACCATTTGCATTCTTCTACGAATCACATCAAGAGGGTAAGCAACAGTTTGGCCAACAGTTCCAGCAGCAGCCCCACAAGCAAGCCTGGTCGTCACACTCAACTCAGAGTCCTCAACCAATCCAAATTTTTTACTTTTGATTAACCAATCTTTTAGAGACTCATACACAGCAAAGTTCAAACCCACATATGGTATCTGCAAACATAAAATGAGTTCAAAATCGACACACAACAAATAAAATAAAGCATTCTCTTTGTCAGGCTAGGTAATAAATTCACCAACAGATAAGTCAGTGATCACTTTTGACCACCCAAAATGGGGATACAAGCATTTTGCATAATTCACAGTAATCCGATGGAGCTGACTGAAGACAAAGAAACTTAAAATCATAAAAGGTAAAAACCCTGCAGAAAGGTCCATAATAAGATTCCCCAGAAATTGATTTTTCTACGAGTGTAGGTTTCATTATTATGTGACCCCAGAAAGAAGGATGCTTCACCCGTTCCCATTTCTTTCTCTTCCAAGCCCTTATGTTACACCAAGAAGGCATGCTCTCATCACAGCCATAACATTCAAAAACCATTTAACTATGAAACTCCAAATATAAGGAAAAAAAAAAGGACTCACAACTCCAATGACCGAAGGAAGCCAACCATTGTACAATGCCCGTGGGCCTTCTTGCCGCAACACAGTTGACAGAGCATGGAACATTCCTCTATACTGATAAGGAGAGCTTTCTGTCTGCAATATACACAATTAATTGATTAAATTCTCATGTAGCCAGAATACAAGGAACAATCCAAGATATCAAAGAAACAAAATGCAGAGGCTTAAAATGAAATCAATATTTGCTTTGAAGAACTAAAATATTATGCAAATTTTCTTCTTACACAAATAAATCAAGGAAACAACAAAGTTATGTCCATAGTTTGCTATTTACTACAAAGCAGTCTTTTTCATCTTGATAATATTGAGATTGAACCAACAAGTGAAACATCATGCATCTGCCAAGTAAAACAATATTTAAGAGACAATACCTGTACAGTGAGCCTGCCTCGTACCATGTCCATTGGGTAAGTTGCAGACATGGCAATTATTCCAGCACATGCTCCAGCTCCAAGGCGTAAAAGAGGAGTGAGTTGAGCATCTTCTGCAGAATTAACAAGGGGAAAGCCCTATATAACCTTTCAAGATTTCAAGGAAATCTGGATATAAATTTCATGACATACATGATAACATCTGATTGGTTTTCTATCCCATGAATGCAGTCCTTCCTAACATTAATGAACTTATTGACCATAATTTATCCTGTAATAACAAGTTCCACAAGATTTCCCAAACCCAAAGCTTTTATATTACTTTTATTACTATGCATGTGAGACAAAATGAGCATGTAAGGAACAAAAATCATAGTTTCTTAGTTAAAACCTAAAACCATAACTGAATTCTATATATATATCATATAATGCAAACATGAGATGATTGCTCAGCAAAAAGATGATGACAATATTAGTCATACCGTTGCCAGTTTGCTGTTGATACAGATACAGGATTCCCCTGTCACAAAGAATAACAAGGAACAATCAGCCGAGACTAACAGACACATTTACTTCAGTTCAAACCATGCACATGTGCGGGAGGAGCAATGCAAAGGAAAAAGAACTTTGCACCCCCAGGGAACCTTAAGACTAATAGGCTGCACTTGCCTAACCAAAAACATCAATATGTTCAGTCACACACAATCTAATCAGTGATCATCAATATTTTAGATTTGGCAATTTGTGTAAACGTGTCTGTCTTTGATAGATCACTCAAACTTAGCAATATAGAGATGACCAACAAAAAAGTCAAATCAGTCAACCAACAGAAAAATAAATAACAATTGAATAGTGTTCAAGAACCCTACTTTGAAGCTTGCTCGTAGCTGAAGAATTTCACAGCAGAGTTTGGAACAATGCGTGCACAATTAGTACCATTGCCTTTGAATAATCCACGAAAACCTTCAGTTCTCCAAATGTACTTCAAGCCTTGAATTGTTCCATTGTATTTTATACTATGTGGATTCTGAACCTGAATTTTTTATAAAAGAAGTTAATATCAATTAAGAAATTGAAATCTTTATTTTTCTTAATACAATAAAATGCAAAGTAATTAAACTAAATAAACCTTGAATAAGACCTAGTAATCTAAAACACAACCCAGTGATACAACAGGAATACGACTTAAAATTTTAAAAATAATTATATATAAGTTTAACAAACCAAAAAATATAGTTTAGAATTTCGTATCCACATCAATTACGACATAAAACATGATAAGAATACACATATTTCAGTATTTTACATGAATACACGAATAAGGTCTACCTGAAGTAATATCTTTAAACGTTCCAAAGGAGCAACGGCAGTTCGTGATCTGCATGTTAAAAGAATAGATTAAATGAAAGAAAGATCCTTTTTTATGTTTATTTTCCTATTTTGAAATTGAGAAATTCAATTTTCCGTGAGACAAACACTCCGTAGAAAGGGATAGAGAGAGCTCACACTCCACCGGCGACGCCGCCCGCAACAAGAGACTTGCAGATGCTAAGAATAGCATAGCTAGGGGCCTTGACACCCTCTCTCGCGAGCTTCGCTTCCTCCGCTAGATTAACGATTGTCGAAACCGCGGATTTACTAGTCTTCACATCCTCCGAAGCCATCGAAAACCAAAATTACAGAAACACAATAAAAAATCTTGGAAAGTCCCTCTCTCGCCGTAAAACACTAAGAAGTCTTTCCCGGTAGCTTCAGGAGAACTATCCGGCGATCGATATGATCGGATCTCCGAAGCGATTTATAGTAAAAAGAGGTTCCGCATTTCTCGCCTCCCCTTATTCTAGTTTTGTGAGACATTGAGTGAGGTGCGGTGGTGACGGCTGCTTTGGGAGCTTGAAAAAGTGACACCTCAAGTCAACTAGTTGAGAGCGTGATACGCCGTTCCTTATAGAGCGCGTGGGTTTGTTTTGTTTTTTTTTTTTTGAGAAAAAGAAGAATATATTTATGTATTATCTTATTTGTATTCAACACCAGTAAAATAGTAAATTCTGGTATCACTATTTATATCATTATCATGTAAGACACTTTTTTTTGTTAGTTCCATTTTTATATAAAATATTTTTTAATTTTTAATTATGTCATAATTATCATGTCGCAATTTATAAGCGGATTTATTTATTTTTTTATTTATGATATATAAAAAATTATCAACAAAATTATTAATTTTATTGATAAAATTTTAGAATGTTCAAATAAAATTTTCCTTCAAAATTTCTTATTTCAAAAATTTTGAGATATCCGTTAGAATTTAGAGAAGAAAATTTTTCTCTTCAATTTTCTTATTTAAAGGGTAGGTCTTCTCCTTATTACTTTCATATTTTTGTATCAAAACATAATATCGTATTTAAAATCATTAAGTTTACAATAAGCCTTTTATGATTATTAAAAATTATAAAAAATTTAAATTTAAATGATGATAAATAAATATTAAATAATTATAAAAGATATTTTTTAATAATTATTATAATGCATCCCATAATTCGTTGTGAGATATTTTTTATATTTATATTTTATTATTTATAAATTAAATAGTCAATATATGTTTTATAAATTAAGATATTTGTAATAATTTATTAGATATTAATTTAATTTTTATTTCTTAAAATATTTTTTATTCATTTTATATTACAACTAAATATTTCACAATTACAAACTTAATTTATCATATCATTTTGTTTTTTTTTTTTATAAAATTAAAATATGTATACATTAAAATATTTACAATGTGGTATTGATTAGTTGACTTGTAAAAAAATTTAAAGAAAAAATAAAAAAAGAGTTATAAATATTTCAACATTCAATATTTATATTAAGTATATATTGGATATATAGATATTTAGATTTGTCAATACTTTCATCACTGTATATTCAAATATTTGTATATATTTACTTAATTTTTATATATTGAGGAATTTTAAAATTATCTAAAACTATCTTTATCTCAATAATTTATTTAAAAAATTATTATTTTTGTCTCATCTTTGAATTTTTAAATAATTAATTTATTATATATTTTTAAATAAGCTAAAAATAGAAAGAGGGTGTGAGCAACCACTCGCGAGTGGCGAGTGAGAGGTACATTTGGTACGGTTCCGAGAGTTTGTGTACTATGCTTGGCAGAGAACGAAACCTAGATATTCATTTGACGGCGTCGCTCAGTTTACACGTCATGCATTTTGTTGATGCTGAGGTGGGCCCCTTTTTGAAAATACTGAATATTATAAATTAGTATAATTAGATAATTTTTTGGGGGGGATTTTTTTTAAAATGTTAATATGTACCCGATCACGTCAATTAAAATTAATATTTAAAAAATATACAATTAATGTATGCATCAAAATATTTATTTTAATTATTTTAAAACAATATTAATGAGCATCATTAATTGGATTATTTTATTAAATATTAATTAGTATTTAATGATATTAAGAGTTTATTTAAATTGTCTGGCAAAAGAATTTCAACAATGTTGTGTATGTGATTCATAATTAAATTTTCAAAAGTTGTCATAAAATACAACTATGGTGTAACAAAAGAACTTTTATCATGGTGACAAAGAAACTAATTAAAATAATATAAAAAATATATAATTAAAGCATTATAAAAATATTAATTTAAAAAATATTAAAAATGATCAATTAAAATATTTTTTAAAAATTTATTAAATTAACAATTTATATTTTTACAAAATTTATTTATTATTAAAAGTAATTTTTTAAGTGACAGTCATAATATAATTAATTAATTAAGATGACTACAATATTTTTTATAGACCTCTATTTAAACATAACTAATAGTAAATAAAATAAAATAATTATTACCTTAGATAATAATGTCAAACAAACTAATAAAAAATTATTATTAGATTAGATAATAGTGTGAAAGTTCATGGAATGCTTGCTTGCACAAATACTTTTTTTTTAACTCATTTTTTTTTTTGTTAATGTTAACCAACTTATATTATACATAGATCAAACTATAAAACAAAACAATTGGACCTAATTTTATAAATGAAATAATAACACAAGATAAGTCAAGAGTTGCATGTGTTTTTAAATTTCAATGGTGAATAACACTGATTTTCTGTTCTTCAAGTTAAAGACAAAAAAAAAAAAACTTACACTTCAAAATACTTAAAATCAAGGTAAATTCAATGTTATAAACTATAGCAAAACCAATATTAATTGTCTCAAATTCATATCCTAGTCATTTGATTACATGCTTTAACCTCCCTATTTTTTTAAGCTAATGTCAATCAGTAATAACTTTTTTTACTAAATTTAGAATTTCATTTTAAAATTTTTATTGTGGTAACATTTTTTAGAAGTTTGATAACATTAAGAAAGTTTGGTAACTTTTAATATAATTTTGTAACATTTGATAATATTTTGATAGCTTATGATATAATTTTGATAACTATTGTCATAATTTTTGTAACCTTTTGATAGAATTTTGGTAAATTTAGATAACTTTTGATGCAATTTTTATAACCTTTAATATAATTTTGGTACTTAGATGATAAAAGTTGCAGTAATTAAGAAAGAAAATACAGTGGAGTACAATAATGCATAAAAATCTAAAATTTTTTTTAAAATTAAATTCTCCTTGATGAATATGAACATGTAAAAATCTTTAACCTTTTTTCTTAGTGAAATTTTGATATAATATTTGAATATTTTAGTATAAATTATAAACTCAATCTTATTTATAAACTGCATGAACAAAAAGTTCAACTGTGATATTTTAATGAGACAATAATAAATTTTTAATTTTTTTGATGAAAAACAAATTATACATCATATCACATGTATTTGTCAAATATATTAAGAAGGAATATTTTAATATTAACAAATAAATTGAGTTAATAATTATGTCTTACACCAACATTAAGAAAGTAAAACCTGTAAGTTTGGAAATATTGTTTGATTGTTAATCAAGTTATAATATAATGAATCAATTTTAAAATTTTTAGTAGTATTGAAATTAAGATAATTATCATGATATTAAATTGATTGTCCTTGTGTATAATATTTTATTTTAATTTTTGGTAACATTTTTTAGAAGTTTGATAACATTTGATAAAATTATGATAATCTTTAATACAATTTTATAACGTTTAATATTATTTTAATAACTTATTATATGACTTAGGTACTCATTATGACAATTTTGGTAAATTTTAATAAATTTTTTAGTAAGTTTGATATAATTTTGATAGCCTTTAATACGATTTGGTAACTTATGATATAATTTTGATAACCATTAATACAATTTTTGTAACCTTGGATATAATTTTAGTAAATTTTGATATAACTCGATAATCTTTTATATATTGCAATGACCTTTGTTAGAAATTTGATAACAGTTAATAAAATTTGATAACGTTTAATACTATTTTAGTAACTTTTGATATAATTTGATAACTATTTATATAGTTTTGATTTTGATAACCTTTGATATATTTTGGTAACCTTTATTAGAAGTTGTATAACAATTCATAAAATTTTAGTAACCTTTAATACAATTTTGGTAACTTTTATTACTATTTTGATAACTAATTGAGATAATTTTTGGGTAACTATTTATATAATTTCAGTAACGTTTGATGAAATTTTAGTAAGTTTGATATAATTTTGGTAATCTTAGGTACAATTTTGATAATTTATGATATAATTTTGATTTTGATAACTTTTTATACATTTTGGTCATTTTGTTGGAAACTTGATAAAATTTTGAAACCATCAATAAAATATTAATAACATTAGGTATTAGTTTGGTAACATGATATAGTTTTAGTAACTATTAATATAATTTTGGTAATTTTTATAGTTTTAGTAACTATTAATATAATTTTGGTAATTTTTAATAAAATGTTGATAACCTATTGATGTAAATTTCATAACCTTTCGTATAATTTAAATAATTTATGATATACTTTTGGTAATTATTGATATAATTTTTTGATAGCATTTTGGTAATATTGGGTCTAATTTTGAGAACCTTTGATACAATTTTGATAAACTTTGATATAGTTTTTATTTTGAGAATGTTTGACATAATTTGGTAACCAAAGAAACCATTTTGATAACCTTTGATATAATTTTAGTAACCTTTGATATATAATTTGATAATCTTTGATATAATTTTGATTTTGATAAACTTTTATATAAGTTGATAACATTTTATATGGTTTTGGTAATTTTCCAAAACTTTGATACAAGTTGATAACCTTTGTTATAAGTTTGATAATCTTTGATAAAATTTTAGTAGCCTTAGATATGATTTTGATAATCATTAATACAATTTCTTTAACTTATGTTATAATTTTAGTAATTGTTGATATGATTTTGGTAACTTTGATAAAATTTTGGCAATCTTGAATGCAATTTTGGCAACCTTTGATATTATTTTGGTAACAGATGATATAACATTGGTAATCATTGATGCAATTTTGGTAGCCTTCAACAAAATTTTAGAAATATATTGATATAATTTTGGTAATTTATGATACAATTAATTAGTATTACATACATAAATTAATGATGAGCTAAAATAAATTAAACTAATAATTTACAAAATAAAAAAGCTAAAAGTTATACAACCTTAAAAAAAATAAAACTATAAGCTTCAAAAACAAAAGTATAAGGACTATAGGAAATTAAATTATATGCATGTCATATGCACAATATTCATAACAATTGAACATTTCTTAATTATATTTTAATAACATGGAAACAAATTGTTTGACTAAAAAAAGAAAGAATAATACTAATAACTATCAACATGCTTTCATTAGAAAGAAATATGCAAAATTTAAGGAGTTAAAGATTTTTACATTTAAAATTGGTCAAATTAAGAAAATAAATTTAAAAAATAAAAATATTAACAACTCATTAAATTTATCATACAACTGGAAAAAATAAATTATAAATTTTAAAGGTATCAAAATGGAAAAAATTAGATATGAAAGATTAGGGCAAATTGATAATTTATAAAGTAAAAAAAGGCATTCATGGGCTAACAATACATCAAGAATCAACATAGTAGTAAATCCATGATAGTAATAGATCAGTGTTAAATTAGTGGTAAATTATCAATAACTCAATGTTAAATCAATTATAATTTAGTTGTGAATCAGTAATAAAAGAAATTAATAATAATTTAGTATTAAATCAGTATTAGCTTAGTAATAAATTATTGTTAATTTAATAGCAAATTATCGATAACTTAATAGTAAATCAGGGATAAATTAATAGTAAATAATTTATAACTTAATAGTAATTCAATTATAAGTGTTAACTTAGTGGTAAATCATCAATAACTTAATGTTAAATCAGTTATAATAATAAATTAATAATAATATAGTAGTAAATTAGTATTAATTTAATAGTAAATTATCGATAACTTTGTAATAAATCATTTATAACTTAATAAAATTATTGACAACTTAATTGTAAATCATTCATAAATCAATATATAACTTAATAATAAAATGTTATCTATTTATTTCTTATTACCTTGAACTTTTTAGTAAAATAAATTGTTTTATTGTATGGTATCATCAAAAACATTGGTAACAATTAAACAAAAAATTATTGCCCTTTGAGATATCTTTAAAAATGAAAGAGAAATTAGTCTAAACTTATTGAAAAAATATCGTAAAAAATTATTTTTTTAAGTGCGTACTATTTTTAAATCAAATAATAATAATAATAATAATAATAATAATGAAAAAAAATTATATTGTTACTTTATTTCAACTTTCAAGTAACAAAAATTTTATGATAATTTGATTTTAAATCAAAATAAAAAATTTAAAATTTTAATAACATATAAACAAGAAATAAAAGTTTGAATGAATTCAATTACGACCGATTAACTTATGAATTCATAAAAATGAAGATAAGAATCCATCACTAATAAAACTAAAAGGAAATCTCAAAAAAAAAAAATTGGTATAAAGTAAAAAAGGAAGTAAAATATAAAATCTGATTTAATTGTAATAGAATATGATCCTTTAGAGCTGAAAACTTAAAAAATATATAAAACAAATTAGATATTTATTTTTATTAAAACTTCACTTTAAAATTTTTGTTATATTTATTTACTTTTAAATTTAAATTTACATTTTCAATTTAATTTAGTATTATGATGATTATTTCAATTTCATCATTATAAATAAATACTAAAATTATTTAATTATATTATAATTATAATTTGATTAAAAATCTAGTGTAACGCATGTGTCACGAAAACTATTATTTATATAATGTATTAATAGAGAAAAAAATTAAGAATTTGAAAATTTGTAATCGTTGAGAATTGAGTCTTAATTTTAAAAGTTTTTTTTTTTTTTTTGAAAAGTGAGTAAATAATTTGAAGCAAACTCTATCTTAAAATCATAAGCAAGTCAAATTAAAGTTTTCAATAAAATACATGTTCTCATCATTTTTATCGTTTTTGTTATTTGGTAATGTTGTCGGCTGATGTGAAAATTATACGAGAAAAAATCAACGCGATGAGATTTAAAATTTTTTAAAAAATTATACATAAATTTAATTAAAATTAAAATATAATATATTTGATTAAATTATGATATGATAATTTTTATATTTTATTCATGTTTAATACAAAACTATTGTGAGGGGTAAAAAAAATTTAAAAAAATAAAAAATCAATTTACAATTGTAATGTTTAGTTTGGATTAAATTTTTTTTATTCAATTCAAATTAAATTTGAATATTTCATATATATTAGATTCAAATTTTAGATCAAAAAATTAAAAATTAAAAAAATAAAATAAATTGAATTATATATTTTTATTAATTTTTATATATTTTAAATTTGTATAAATAATTATTTTATATACTATACATTACATTATAAAAAAAATATTAAACCAAATTCAACCCGATTGAATATTCCTAACCAATAACCACAGCAACACAAATACAAAAATAGCTTGTCCAACACAGACAAACCAACAAACAAATCGACTTAGAGTCCACAAAAAATAATTCTCCTTCAACCAAGCAATTACAACAGGCACAACAATTATCTCTCAACCTTCTATATAAGCCTAAGCTTTCTTCTTCTTTTTCTACCATACCTAAAACTCAACCATGGCAAAAGCGCAGACAACCCATATAGCAATTCTGCCGAGCCCTGGGATGGGTCACCTCATTCCACTCGTTGAGTTCGCCAAGCGACTCGTCGACCAACACAACTTCACTGCCACCTTTGTTATCCCTAGCAATGATTCTCCTTCAAAAGCTCAGAAATCAACTCTTGATTCTCTTCCAAGTTCTATAGATTCTCTGTTTCTTCCTCCTGTTGACTTGAGTGACCTCCCTGGAGATTCGAAAATTGAAACGGTGATTTCTTGGACGGTGGCTCGCTCCCTTTCTCCCCTTCGGGATGCCTTAAAAAAGCTGGTTGCAAACACAAAACTTGTTGGTTTGGTGGTTGATCTGTTCGGGACTGATGCATTCGATGTTGCTAGAGAATTCAACGTCTCACCGTACATATTTTTCCCGTCCACAGCCATGACCTTGTCTTTGTTTCTTTACCTTCCAAAGCTTGATGAAATGGTTTCATGCGAATACAGGGACCTGCCTGAACTGGTGAGAATTCCAGGGTGCATACCGATTCACGGGAAAGAATTGCTGGACCCAACTCAAGACAGGAAAAACGATGCTTACAAGTGGCTTCTTCATCATACAAAGAGGTATGGATTGGCTGAAGGAATCATAGTGAACAGTTTCATGGACTTGGAAGGAGGAGCAATAAAGGGTTTGCAAGAGAAAGAGCCCGGAAAGCCACCTGTTTACCCTGTTGGTCCACTTGTTAACGTTGATCCGAGTAGTAAAGCTGATGGCTCGTCGGATTGTCTGCAGTGGCTCGATGATCACCCACATGGGTCGGTTTTGTATGTCTCATTCGGGAGTGGTGGGACACTGTCTTCTAACCAGATACATGAGTTGGCTCTGGGATTGGAAATGAGTGAACAACGATTTTTGTGGGTCGTGAGAAGCCCAAATGACAAGGTTGCCAACGCCACATTTTTCAGTGTGGATAGCCAGAAGGACCCTTTTGATTTTCTACCAAAAGGCTTCCTGGAGAGGACCAAAGACCGGGGTCTAGTGGTGCCATCATGGGCACCACAGGCTCAAGTGCTGAGCCACGGCTCTACAGGAGGGTTTTTGACCCATTGTGGATGGAATTCAACTCTTGAAAGTGTGTTTAATGGGGTGCCTTTAATCGCATGGCCACTCTACGCTGAGCAAAAAATGAATGCTGCCATGCTAACTGACTTTATTAAAGTTGCATTGAGACCAAAACCCAATGAAAACGGCTTAGTTTGCGGAGACGAGATTGCAAAGGCTGTTAAGGGTCTAATGGAATGTGAAGTAGGGAAAGGTGTTCGCAACAGAATGAAGGACCTGAAGGAAGCAGCCGCAAAGGTACTCAGTGAAAATGGGTCTTCCACCAAGGCACTCTCAGAGGTGGCCAATAGGTGGAGGAATCAGGCAAGTAGAAATTAGAAACACACCCAAAGGTAACACACCCAAAACCTTTTAGATATCTTTTGAGAGTGACTCGTGGCCAATTAGATCAAGCATAGAGTAATTTTAACTTTATTGTAAATCTTTTACATTTTCCTGTATATGGTCCTGGCCATCTGGATGTAAAAACAGCTAGCATATATGTGTTTGAATGTTAGAAGTGTTTGAGATACAGTAAGCAGATTTCTTGGGAGTTTCCAGTTATGTTCTTTCTTCCCTTCATTTGCCATTGCTCATCTCATGAAGTAGGTGAGATTGGTGTGGACGCAGCATAGCATTGCATTGAAGTGAATCGAAGGGGCGGTCCCAATGACCAAAGAAAAACGTCTTCCATCACATTTTAGTCATGGCCAAACTTTGCATTAATTAAAGGTAGCTGGCTGGTATTGACTTTGAAGATAAAATTCAATTCAGCGATGAATTCGATGTTAATTAATTTTAATATATTTAATGGATGAAATTAAATTATTGTTATTATTATTTTTTATTTTTGAAGTCTATTTATATTAATGATTAAAAAAATTTAACGATATAAATTAATTTTGTTTCTTAAAAATTTTATATTAGTGTAAATTGATCTTATTTTGATTAGAAGGGAGGTGATTCCCATTACAAAATTTCCAACCTCAAATGTGTGAAATTTAGATCAATTTTTACCTGCCACATCCATTATACAGTTCATTCACAGACTATTCATTTTCCCTTCAGGAAGGATGATCTTTGATCAGCCAGGTTCTGTCAAATTTCATGCTTTCATCATTTTTTTTTCCAACCCAAAAATTCCATTTAAAATAATTTTAAGATATATTTAGATGAGTGATGAGATTGAAAATAATGATAATAGTAATATTAAATATTAAAACGATAAAATTAAAATTAATAATAAAAATACATATTTGAATGTAAATACACTAATAACGTCGTGATGACGATAATATCTTTTAGTTTTATATTATGATAGTAGACTGCTTTAAGATTCAATGGTTCACTAAATGATGTCATACAGATGCATTCCAATGCAATAAGTCCAAAAAAATACTGTATTCCACTGCACTGAAGGTGCAGCAAATTCAAACGAACCCTACTTGAAGAAAGATAGGAAAGAAAGAATGATGAACATTTGACAGGAAAGATTAGAACTTTGAAACTTTTTAAACGTGAGTCCGTGACACAAGTTTGTGGCAGTTACTTTGGGGCAAACATGCTTAGCGTATACCAAGGGGATTCCTATAGTAAGTTAAAGTTTTTTTAGCCTTACAATAAGGTTAGTAAAAAATAATTATTAGATTTATATAGTTAAATATCAACTATTGATTAAATTTTAAAGTAGAAAATGGTAAAATCTGTTTATCAGGTAATGAGATTATTAGGCAAATTTTTTATAATCCTATATAAAATTTAAATAATTTTCGCTTTAAATAAAAGTTTTTTATTTTTTACTTTATTACATTTTATCAAATTACTTTAAAATAAAAAATAATAATTAAAATATTCTTTTTTAAAATTTTTTTTAATGTAATTGGTATCTTCTAAAATAGCTAAAAAGTATTATAAAATAAAAAAATAATTCTAAAGAAATTAAAAAATATTAACATAAAATTCTTTCAAAGAAAAAAATTAACCTAAATGAATTTATATTTTAAAATAAAATAAAAAATTATTAACATAATAGATGAGAGAAATAGTAAAATTTATATCAATTTATGTAAAATGGGATAGAAGTGTTGTAACATGCTAAAAAATGAATTATGAAAAAATTTAAACATAATTAAATACAAAAAAAGTGTTAGAAGAATTATTTAACATAAATAATTAAGTTAATGACGTGAATTTAAATTAATAATTTTTCTTATAAATATATAAGAAAAATAGTTAAAAATACTTTCAAGGATAAAAAATAACATAAAAGAAATGATGTTTTAGAATGAAAAAAATTAATGAAAATTTTATTAATGTAAGTAAGTGAAAGGGATTGTAAAAATTGTATGATTTACCGTAAAATATGTTAAAAGTGTCATAACACATAAGAAAGAGTGATGATAATTTTAAATGTAATAAAATGTAAAAATAATCTTTAAAAAAATTATTAAAATGTAAATAATTAAGTTAGCAACATAAAAATTTAATTAATTAATATTCCTCCAAATATATAAAAATATCTAATAAATAAAAAAAATAACGTAAATAGGTGAGAGAAAATGTAATGTTTGTATCATTTGACATAAAATAGATAAAAAGTGTTATAACATATTAAGAAAGAATTATGACAAGTCTAAACATATTGGAAAGTAAGAACAAATGTAGAAATATATTATTGTAACAATGTAAAATTTTGATTAATTATTGTTTTGTATATATATATATATATAAGAAAATAGTTATAAATAAAAAAATAAATTGGTAACATAAACAAGTGGAAAGAAATGTAAAATTAGTGTCATTTGACGTAAAATAAATAAAAAGTGTTATAACACTCTAAGAAAAAGATAGCAATTCTAAATATAATAGAAAATAAGATTAATTGTAAGAAAATATTATTGTAACGTAAATAATTATATTGGTAACATAAAATTTTAACTAATTATTTTTTAAACAATATATAAACAAAATAGTTAAAAATTGAAAAACAAATAGGTAACGTAAAAAAGCGAGAGAAAAACTAAAATAAGTATCATTTGGTATGAAATGGATAAAAAGTGTTGTAACTTATTAAGAAAGAACTATTACAATTTTAAACATAATTAAATGTAATAACAATCATAAAAAGAAATTATTGTAGCATAAATAATTAAGTTATTAATTTAAAATTTTAATTATTTATTTTTTAAACATATAAGAAAAATAGCTAAAGCTTAAAAATATATTAGTAACATAACCATGTTAGATGAAATGTAAAAAGGTGAGAATTATTGTAAAATTGGTATCATTTGGCATAAAATATATTATAAGTGTCGTAATATCTTAAAAGAAAGTTATGATAATTTTAAACGTAATGAAGGTAAGGACAAACATAAAAAGTTATTATTGTAATGTAAATAATTAAGTTGATAATGTAAAAGAATTATTACCTTAAACCCAAAGAATAATTATAAACCAATAAACAAGTGTTAACATAAAAAAGTGAGAATAATAAAAAAAATTGATGTCATTTAATATAAAATGAGTTAGAAGTATCGTAACACACTAACAAAAAATTGTAATAGTTATAAAGATAATGAAAAGTAATAATAGGCATAAAAAGATATTATTATAACAAAAATAAGTAAGCTGGTAATATAAAAGAAATATTATTACAAATAAAAAAAATAATTTTAACCAAAAAAATAAAAGTTAATGTAAAAAAGGGAGAATAATTATAAAATTAGAATTATTTAATATAAAATAGTTATAAGTATCGTTACACTTTAACAAAACATTGTGATAATTCTAAACGTAATGAAAAGTAACAATAAATATAAAAAAAGGTGTTCACATAAAAAAGTGAGAGTAATTATAAAATTGAAATCATTTGACATAAAGCATGTTAAAATTGTCGTAATGTAAAAATATAAGAATAATTATAAAATTGGTGTCACTTGGCATAAATTGGATTAGAATTATTATAACACTCTAACAAAGAGTTGTAATAAATTTAAACGTAATAAAAAGTAAGAACAAGTGGAAAAAAATTATTGTAACATAAATAATATTTTTGGCAACGTAAAATAATTATTATTACAAATAATTAATAATTCTAACCTAAAAAATAAGTGTTAGTATTAAAAAATGTGAGAGTAATCATAAAATTAGTATTATTTGGCATAAAATGGTAAGAATTGTCATAATACCTTAAAGGAAAAAGTTGTAATACTTCTAAACGTAATGAAATATAACAATAAATGTAAAAAAAATTATTATAATATAAATAATTAAGTTGGCAATATAAAACAACTATTTTTACAAACAAAAAAAATAATTTTAAATAAAATGTTAAGAGTTAATGCAAAACGGTGAGAATAATTATAAAATTGATATTATTTAATATAAAATAGTTAGAAGTATTATTACACCATAAGAAAAAATTTGTAATAATTCTAAATGTAATAAAAAGTAACAACAAATGTAAAAAGATACTACTGAAACGTAATAAATTGATAACGTAAAAAAATTAGTATTATACATAAAAAAATAATTCACTTAAAAAATAAATATTAACATAATAAGATAAGAATAATTGTAAATTTGGTATCATATGACGTAAAATATATCAAAGGTGTTGTAATACCTTAAGAAAAATTTGTGATAATTCTAAACATAATAAAAGGTAAGAACACGCATAAGGGATTTTATTGTAACGTAAATATAAATTGACAACATAAAAAATTTATTTTTATAAATAAAAAATAATTCTAAACAAAAAAAATACATTTTAACATAAAAAAAGTGAGAATAGTTGAAAAATTGGAATCAATTGGTGTAAAATATTTTACAATGTCGTAATGTAAAAAGATAAAAATAATTGTAAAAATTGGTGTTATTTGTTGTAAATTTGATTATAAGTGTCATATCACCTTAATTAAAAGTTGTGATAATTCTAAACGTAATAAAAAATATGAACAAGTATAAAAAATATTATTATAACATAAATAATATTTTTGGTAACATAAAAGAATTATTATTACAAATAAATAATAATTCTAAACCAAAAAATAAGTGCTAATATATAAAAGGTGAGAGTAATTATAAAATTGATATCATTTGGTGTAAAATGGTTAGAAGTACCTTTAAGAAAAAGTTATGATAATCCTAAACGTAATGAAAGATAACAAGCTTAAAAAGATATTATTATAACATAAATAATTAAGTTGGCAATGTAAAAAAAATTAATTACAAATAAAAATAATTTAAATAAAAAATAAGAGTTAACATAAAACGATGAGAATAATCCTAAAACTGGTATTATTTTAAATAAAATAGTTAGAAGTATCATTACACCTTAACAAAAAAATTGTAATAATTTTAAAAGTAATGAAAAGTAATAATAAATATAAAAAGATATTATTGAAACATAATAAATTTGTAAAGTAAAAAAATTAGTATTATAAATAAAAATAATTTTAAATTAAAAATAAGTGTTAAAGTAAATAGGTGAGAATAATCGTAAAATTGATATAATTTAGCGTAAAATATGTTTGAAGTGTCATAATACGTAAGAAAATTTTGTGATAATTTTAAATATAATAAAATGCAAGAACAAACATAACAAATTTTATTGTAATGTAAATGATTAAAGTGACAACGTAAAAAATGTATTATTATAAATAAAAAATAATTTTAAAACTAAAAATAAGTGTTAACGTAAAAATGTGAGAATGATTGTAAAATTAATATAATTTAACATAAAATATGTTGAAAGTATTGTAACATAAAAATGTGAGAATACTCGTAACATTAGTATTTTTTG